TTCACTCAAGGCTTTTGAGCGAGTTATAACTCCTTTTGAAGGGCTCCCAATGATTTGTTCCTTTGGATGGTTTGATGTGAATTTCCAAGCTTTAGGTGGTTCAACTTGATCTTGAGCGTTTGTGCTATCCACATCCTTTTGAACTTCTATAGAGGGAGTGTCATTGATTTGCAACAAGTCCAATCCTCCCTCAATATCATCATCATCATCTTTCCTAGGCAACACAACTTGAGAGCCAACATTAGTCTCATCAAAAGTAACGTTTATAGACTCTTCAACAACGAGGCTTCGTTTATTGAAGACCCTATAAGCCTTACTTCGAGGTGCATAACCCAAGAAAATACCAACATCAATTTTGGAATCAAATTTATCATGGTGATCTTTTGTATTTAAGATAAAACATTTGCAACCAAAAACACGAAAATAACCAATGAAAGGAGTTTTTCCATGATAAAGTTCATAAGGGGTTTTCTTAAGCCTTGGTCTAATCAAAACACGATTTAAAACATGGCAAGCCGTATTGACGGCTTCCGCCCAAAAGTATTTTGGTAAATCAAAAGAATTTAACATAGTACGTGCCATCTCTTGTATGGTGCGATTTTTCCGTTCAACAACACCATTTTGTTGTGGTGTTCTAGGAGCGGAAAACATATGAGTTATACCATGATGAGCACAAAAATCATAGAAAAATTCATTTTGAAATTCACCACCATGATCACTTCTTATCTTAACAACTTTCAAATCTTTTTCATTTTCAATTCTTTTAACATGATTTGCAAATTCTTCAAAACAATCATTTTTCTTAGCAAGAAATATTGTCCATGTAAAACGAGAAAAATCATCAATAATCACAAAAACATAGTGTTTGCCTCCAAGAGAGGTAACACGCATAGGACCAAATAAATCAAGATGAAGTAATTGCAAAGGTTTAGAAGTTGATACCTCATGAATGGATTTGAAAGAAGATTTCGTTTGTTTACCTTTGGCACAATCCTCACAAATTGTATCTTTTATGAAGTGTAAGTTAGGTAGCCCTTTCACAAGATTCTTCTTAGACAATTTTGATATTAACTCCATATTTGCATGTCCAAGTCTCTTGTGCCAAATCCAAGGGTTTTCATCAATAGCCGCAAGACACTTCACATCTTGATTAACTAACTCATTCATCTCAAAAATATAAACATTAGACTTGCGATTTGCAATAAAAACAATATTTCCATCCATACTAATGATGCATTTATCCGGTTTAAAGGAAATATCAAAACCTTTATCACTTAATTGGCTAATGCTAAGAAGATTATGATTCAAACCACTTACTAAATAAACATCTTCAATTGTGGGTGAGGGTTTCTTACCAATAGACCCGATACCAATGATTTTACCTTTCTCACCACCACCGAAGGAGACATTGCCTCCTTCAATCCTTGATAGGGTTGCAAATAACTCTTTGTTGCCCGTCATATGATGTGAGCAACCACTATCAAGGTACCACATCTCCTTACGTCGTTGCCGTGACGTTCCCTACAAAAGAAGAAGATGAAGGTGTAGTAGCTTTAGGTACCCATGTCTTGGGTCCTTGGTGGTTAGTAGTGTTGGTACCTTTGGGTACCCATATCAAACCATAAAAATCTTCATTGTCTTTAATTCTACAATGAGTAGAAATGTGTCCATGTCTCATACAATAGGTGCATACAAAATTTCTTTTGTATGTACGAATGTTGGAACTATGAAACCTATTTCTACCATGGTGATTGTAGTTGTCATAAGCATGAGTGGGTCTAGTTCTACAACCCTCAATTTCTAATTTTTCAATCTTTGATCTTAATTGCTTGTTCTCGAAATCGAGATCTCCTAGCAATTCATCTTTTAGAGCAAGAGAGGTTGTTAGTTGCTCTAGCTTAATATCACAAGAGGTATGCAATTTTTTGAAAGAAGAGTATTCTTTAGACATTCTTTTAAATTCAAAGTTCAACTCTTCTAATGCCATAGCTATGTCACATTGCATATAGAAAGATTCACTTTCGGCCTCGGATATTACCTCTTGTTCATTTGCCATGAAACAAACATTTGGGTCATGAAGAGCAAATTTGGCTCCTTCTTCATCACTATCCGAGTCACTTGGTTCGGATTCTTCCCATCCGGCATACATAGCCTTCTTCTTTTTGTACTTCATGTACTTTTCCTTGAGCTTGGGGCAATCCTTAGCGATGTGACCCGGTTCGTTGCATTCAAAGCATTTTCCTACACGAGATGAAAACTTGTTGTTAGATCGGGGATTAAATTTTTTGTTCATTTTGATAAGTCTAGAGATTCTTCTAGAGAGATGAGCCACTTCTCTAGAAAAATCAACTTCACTCTCCGACGACGAAGATGAGTTGTCACTAGCTCCCTTGAGAGCTATGGTCTTCAATTTTGGTGACGGCTCCTCAACTTCGCGTGATGACACTTCCTCCTTTTCCTTCCCCTTGAGCTTCTTCTCATGCACTTTGAGCTTTCCGATGAGGCTATCAAGAGCTAAGGTAGTGAGGTCATGAGCTTCCTCAATGGCCGTAGCCTTGGGTTCCCATGTCGGAGTCAAGGAGCGAAGTATCTTGTAATTCATCTCTTGAATGGATAATTGCTTATCTAGACCATGTAATTCATTGATGATATTAGTAAAACGAGAAAACATAGCATCAATGGATTCATTTGGAAGCATTTTAAATAGCTCATAATCATGCATAAGTCCACTAATCTTAGATTCCTTAACTTGGGGGGTTCCTTCATGTGTGACACATAATTTTACCCAAATTTCGTATGCGGTTGCACACGTGGAAACTCTATTATATTCATTAGGGGAAAGACCACAAATTAAGGCGTTCATAGCCTTAGCGTTGAGATTAGCTAGGTGCCTTTCTCCATCGGTCATGTTCCCGACTTTGGACTTTTCTTCATATTTCTCTTCTATGAGCTCTAGAATGTCAAGGTCTATGCAACGAAGGTAAATTCTCATCCTAGCTTTCCAATAAGCAAAATTAGTGCCGGTGAAGAGAGGTGGTCTAGTTGTGGATTGTCCTTCCAACATATGCATATTCAAAGAGGCCTCCATTAGATCTTTTCTCTAAGGTTGTTAAACCAAAAACTGATATAGAGACCAAGCTCTGATACCAATTGTTGGACCCTAGAGGGGGGGTGATTAGGGTCAAGAGGCTCTAATATGCAATAAAAATCAAACACAAGCAAACCACAAAACAGTAAAGCAATTAAAGTAAGAGAAATAGAGTTAGGAGTTCGTTATCCTTGACGCGCGATGTGTTAACGAGGTTCGGCCCTCTGGCCTACGTCCCCGCTCCCCACTCTCGAGGAGAAATCCACTACACACCCGGTTTGGAAGCCGGAACTTCGTCTACACAGCGATCCCACACGATCTCTCTCACTACACAGTTTGATCTCAACAGATCACATTCCCTCACAGTTGATCTACACAGATCTCACTCACACAGCAGAAGAAAAGATGCAAGAACCTCTCTTTACACAGCCCCTATAGCAAAGAGTAGGTTTACTGAAGCTGGGAAGTGAATCACACTTAAAACAGAGAGAAAACAGGCTTTGAAAATTTTTCTCAGGAAACAGAAAGCTCTCTCTGGTTTTTGCAAACGTTAGGGCTGAGGAAGAAGAAGAAGTCTGGGGGGGTTTTATAAAAGAGTTTAAACCAATTAAAAACAAAAACCCAATCTTCCTATTTAGGAAGATAATCTTCTTTTCAGACTCTCAGCTCAGACTGTGCCAAACACTATTAAGTGAAAGCACAGCGAACGAGGCAAAAACCGACCGTTTAAAAAAGTCGCGGCTGACCAAAGACTTTCAGACTCTCAGCTCAGACTGTGCCAAACACTATTAAGTGAAAGCACAGCGAACGAGGCAAAAACCGATCGTTTAAAAAAGTCGCGGCTGACCAAAGACACAAATCGGTTGACCGAAGGGAATTTCGGTCGTCCGAAAAAATGCTTCGGTCGACCGACCGAAAATTTTGGTTGACCGCTAACAACCTTGAAAACTTGGAAATCAAGCAGAGACATCGTCGGTCGACCGGCGCGGTCGACCGATTTGAAAGTCGAGATTTCGGTCGACCGTACCGGTTCGAGTGGCCATGAGAGCGGTCGACCGGACCGGTCGACCGCTTTCTGATATATTGCAGAAAACAGGTTTTTGACTAGACTGAAATATTTGTAAAAATATTTATTTGACCTCTGAAAATTCTGAAACTTTGTAAAATGTTTTTGATACTAAAAACAAACTGCTTGGAAAAAGAATTTTGCAGATAGGTCCTCATACTTATGAAAATTAGTATTTTTTGAAAAACGCTTAAAAACACAAGTATGAAAACGTGTGTGTGATTCCCAATAGCTTCAAGTAAAATCAGTAACTCTTTGCCTACATTCTAGCACTAGAGAGAGAAACAAAAGAAAGCTAATATCCTCATATATAAAGAACAATACTTGAGCTTTGATATAGCTTGAATCGGATGAAGCTTGTATTCGAATTTGTCGTTCTTAAAATAACGTTGCTTCATCTCTTGGCCTCCTCCTCCTTTGGATATCATCGTTGTAGCATATATTCCATCCATCCTCCATTTATGGCACTAACGAGCTTGATAAATGAATTTACTACATTTACACTCAATAAGCCATTAGTACCGATAATGGTGGTTGTAAGAACATCATCAAAACATAAGGGCTAACACTTTAAATAAAAGTTTAATATATATCTTCTATTGCAGTGCAAATTTTGTTAAAGTATGGGGGCATATTGCAACTTTGGAAAGATCTTACGATGTAATTTTGATATTGACCACCAGCACCACCGAAAAAAAAACAAAAAAAAAACATATAGATCCGCTACTACATGCATCTAACTCCTAATAAGGTTAGCTATTTTGTCACGTGAACCGATAGCTAAATGGGTCGGGTACACGTCTATAAGCCCTCCAAAGACCAAATGGCAAAACCCCAATTTCATGAAGATAAGGCCAGTCTTCTTCAGTTTGTAGTTTATCCGAGAAAGCGCAAAAGCGAAGCAAGAGCTTTTGAAGGGGGGAATGGCAGCAATGCTGGCGCTTCAGAGCTCAATGGCGGGCCTTTCTCTCTCCTCGTCTTCGTTATTGGGCCAGCCCTTTCTCCGTCCTCTGGCCTCACCATTGGTTAGTGCCTTCAATTCTCATTTTATGCTGAATAAATTTTTAGTGGGTTATCCTAATATTCTTTAATTAGGTAAAAATGTGTTTGTATTCGGTTGCTTATTGATGTAAGAGGGGTAAGTTGCAGATGAGTGTAAGAGGAGTGCATATTCTTGTAATCTCCAATTGGGCTATGGAAACCCTTCTGATTTTTTTTTTCGGATTGAACTGAATGGCTCCTTTTAGTTCCATATTCAGCATCACAATTCAATTCTTGTTGATTTCTTGGAAATTTTTGATACTTTATTTAGTATGTAGTAAGGTTTAGTTCTAATCAAAAGAGGGTTTGTCTAGAGCTCTTATCCTGTACATCATATTTAAAAATTCCATATAGAGTCTGCACGCCGTGGTGTTTCTGAAGAGGAAACAGCGAAGTTCAAGAAACAGCGAAGGGCAGATTTGAGTTCCGGCCGGTCGACCGCGACAACATGTGCGATCGACCGCGAAAGTGCACGTAGCCTGGAAAAGTCTCTGGACTTTTTACGGTCGACCGCGAGTGACGCGGCGGTCAACCGCGAGTCCCTGTAGTGCAATTTTGGTTTCTGTCATTTTCACGGTCGACCGCGATTGTCGCGACGGTCGACCGCGATACGGTTTTGGGTCTGGGCTTGGTTTCCTGTTCTGATTGGGTTTACTGTTTGATATAAATAGCAATCACGTTTTTTAGGGTTTTATATTGATTGAGTGGGTAGCTTGAAGGTGATTTTGAGCACAGAAAAACGAGATCTTTCTGAGCAATTGTTTGAGGGTTTAATTTTGAGAGATTTGAGAGATTTGTTTGAAAGGTTAGTTGAGTGATCTTGTAATCTTTACTTTGTACTCTCTTTCTCTATAGTGAAAACTCATCCCTTCTTACCCCGTGGACGTAGACAATTTGTCGAACCACGTTAAAATTTTGTGTTTGAGTTGATGTCGTTATATTTGGATTGTTTGGTCTTTCTCTCACGACGTTTGTGTTTGTTCTGCCGCGCACAACAAGTGGTATCAGAACTCGGGCTATGTTTGGACAATTTGGAGGAGTAGATCACTTTGGAAGTTCGGCTAGGGCTTCGTTTTGGAGTTAAATGTGTGATCTTTTTGGTAAAAATTCTATTTTTTTAAGTTTTGGATCTATTCTTCGTTTGTTCCGCTTTGGTTGTTGGTGCTTTGAGGAATTATGATCGGGAAAAGAGGAGTTGTAGAGGGTACTTCAGGTGTGAAGACCGTCCAAAGTTTGAATATCCACTCTATGAAGATAAACGTGGAGAAGTTTAATGACACTAACAATTTTGGACTTTGACGATGTGAAGTATTGGATGCGCTAAACGCGCAAAATTTAGAAGATATTTTAGAATTGGATGGCAAGTCAGATGATATTGATGAGAAGATTTAGAAAAAGATGAACAGAACGACGTGTAGTGTGATTAGGTCTTATTTGACACAAGATTTGAAGTATGATGTGATCAATGAGACTTTAGCTAAGAAGATTTGGAAGATCTTTGAGAGCAAGTATTTGACCAAGAATGTAGAGAATCGCTTGCATTTGAAGATGAGGCTTTATCGCTTCCAATTAAAGAAAGGAACCTCCATTGGTGATCACATGAACCACTACACGAAGCTTCTTACAGATTTGACGAATGTAGATGTGATGATTGAAGATGAGGATAATGTATTGTTATTGTTGAGTTCCTTACCCGACGAGGAATATGAGACCTTCGTCCTTACTCTTATTAATGGGAAGTTATCTTTTTCGTATAGTGAGGTCACCGCTGCACTTGTGAATTATCAGCTTCGAAAGAATGATAAGGAGATTTCGAATGAGACAGTAGCGGAGGTATTAGTCGCAAGAGGGAAGAATCCAAACCGAAAGAATTGGAAGTCACAGTCTAGAGTAGGGTATCCTATAGTTGAAAAAGATCAGTGTGCTTAGTGTAATGAGACTGGTCATTGAAAGAAAGATTGTCCAAAGCTCGATGAATGAATGAAGAATAAGCAGAAGGGAAAAGGAAAGCAACCATCATCAGAAGCAAACATCGTTATATCGGATGGTAATATTTCTGATTCTTCTATTTATTCGCTTTCTATCAGTCCTACAGATAGCTATTCGGAGGAATCCGAGTGGATGTTGGATAGTGGTGCGACCTATCATGTGTGCCCTAGAAGGGAATGATTCATTAGTTTTGAGAAACTGAAAAATAGTGTGGTATACATGGGAGACAACTGTGCATGTCAGATCCTTGGGATAGGAAGAATTCGCATCAAGATGTTTGATGGGACTGTTAGAGAGTTATATGGTATGAGATATGTTCCTTTCTTGAGGAAGAACTTGATCTCAATTGGAGCTTTGGTTGGAGAGGGTCTGAAGGTTCATGTTGAGGACATGGTTCTCGAGATCGTGGAAGATTCTTTGATTGTGATGAATGATGTCAGGAGGAATAACCTGTACTATTTGATTAGAAGTTCGGTGACAAGTGGAGAGATGACGACTTCTGTTAATTCGTCTAGGCTAAAGCATTTGGGGCTTTGTCATTCCAGTATTGATTTGGAGATGGGTGCATCAACCTGCAACTTGAAATCCAGTGAACACTTTGATGTGAGTGAGAAGACCGTGGTAAAGTTTGACATCTCTATTTACCGCACAGAGGATCTTTCAGATGGAGTTCACATGAATGTTTGGGGGCCTTCCAAAGAAGTATCGTTGGGAGGAAATAGATGTTTGGTTTACTTTGTTGGTGGCTGTTCTAGGGATGTTTGGATTGCAATCAAATCCCCTTTGGATAAAGTCCTAGTAGTCTCCAACGGATTGAAGAAGTGTGAGATTGACAGAAAGGTGAAGGTATTTTATTCTGATTTTGGTGGGAGATACAAGAGGGACCTGTTTCTGCATTTGAGCCGAGCTCACGGTATTTTGAGACACTTTGGTGAAAAGAAAATCTTAAGATAACGAGATGAGATGGTAGATTTGGTAAAGCTGTTCATTGCTGGAGGAGGACCGACGTTTGATGTCGAGCATTGATTCTGGTGTTAAGGTTTCGACATATTTAGGTTATCTTGGACATAGGTTGTCGACTACTGCGATTGGAGGTAAAACTCCATTGGATGTTTGGTCTGGTAGTGTCACTTGGTTGAGGCTTCGATGAGGGAGCTAATTGACTCTCAGCAGGTGGAGAGTTTTGGACAGACCTTAGATGTATCGCAGCAGGTGGAGAGTGATGCTACTCCATATTGGGTGAAGATTACTCTACATACTCTAGATCATATTGTATCGTTTGAGATTCCAGCTGAGGTGACACAGTAAGGGGATAATTTGGATTTGGGTGCAGATGATGAGTTGGTTGATTCGAATACAGCTGGTGGATATGATTTGAATACGACCATTGGTTTACCTCTGGTGGAAGTGTTTGATTTGTTTCACTTTGGGGCCAATTGGAGAGCTATCAGCCGCATATTTGTTGGTGAAGAGTTGATAATTTTTCTATTTGATTGAGGGTCTTTGGAGGTCATTTTGGAGAACTACATGAATGCTTGATTCCTTTGACAAGAGAATACGTAGGCAGTCAGTTTTGATACAACCGATTTGATGGGTTGATACCGACGTTTTGGAGTTTGTTCGCATTCTCATTTGGGTCTTGACTTGTTATGGATGGAGTCCGTTATCGTGATTTTGTTTCATTTCGTACTGGACACAACAAGTGAGACATTTGATTTGGTTGGTGTCGGCTCAGTTTTGGAAAAACTTCACCAAGGTGGAGAATTGAAGAGGAAACAGCGAAGTTCAAGAAACAGCGAAGGGAAGATTTCAGTTCGAGCTGGTCGACCGCGGCAACATGTGCGGTCGACCGCGAGACCCTGTAATGCAATTTTGGTTTCTGTCATTTTCACGGTCGACTGTGACTGTCGCGGCGGTTGACCACGATGCGGTTTTGGGCCTGAGCTTGGTTTCCTGTTCTGATTGGGTTTGCTATTTGATATAAATAGCAACCATGTTTTTTAAGGTTTTATATTGATTGATTGGGTAGCTTGAAGGTGATTTTGAGCACAGAAAAAAGAGATATTTCCGAGCAATTGTTTGAGGGTTTATTTTTGAGAAATTTAAGAGATTTGTTTGAGAGGTTAGTTGAGTGATCTTGTAATATCTACTTTGTACTCTCTTTCTCTATAGTGGAAACCCATCCCTTCTTGCCCCGTGGACATAGGCAATTTACCGAACCACGTTAAACTTTTGTGTTTGAGTTGGTGTCGTTATATTTGGATTGTTTGGTCTTTCTCTCACGACGTTTGTGTTTGTTCCGCCGCGCACAACAGTTTCGAAGTACTAGTCTTCTTTGTATATGCAGGTTATTGCCTCTACTTCTTGTAAGGGTCTACTAACTTGTTGGTACCACCAACAAGAAACACAGTTGGGTGTTTACTTATGAGAGGTTTGTTCAACCCTTTTGCCTGTGATTTCTATAATGGGGATATGAACTCTAGCAGGCTAATTGATATCAATGTTTTCTTCCTTTGTGGTTTATATCATCAACTTAAGGCCAGGAAGTAAATGCCGTTGTTAATTTTCTGCAAATAAGAGGAGGGTTGATTTATTATTATATACTATGTGGATAACACTGAATGAATAAGGTGGAACTCAGTGCCAATGGACGTCTAACAAGAAATTTCTTGCTTGTATATATGTTTTGGGATTCCTTGTAAATTCAGTCAGACGATGTTAACATAATTTGGAGATTGAATGCATGGTTAGAGATTTCTTATAAACTCATGATGGTCATTTGCCATTGGTCATTGGGACCTCAAATTTAGAACGACAAGAAACTAGCGGTTTGGGGGTTCAAAGGGTTCGTAAAGAATTTGTTGCACTATAAATTTTATGCATTTTTAGAAGCTTCAATTCTAGTTATGTTGTTTCTACCTTGATTGGAAGGCATGAAGCATCTCGTAGGTAGAGAATGCTTTGAGCTCTATCATGACGCCTAGGATTTTGTTTCGTTCATTTTTTTCCTTTTTGTCATAATCTGTTTTACTATGTTTTTTAGTTAGTTTATCTCAACTACTGTATAGATGTACCTCATTATAACCGAGTACATCTTTTTTTTTTTTTTTTACATTGGACAGATAACTTTTCTTAAATTGGTACTAGAAGCTATGGGTAGTAGAAGCTTCATGCCAGTTAAGGTGGAAACAACCAACTAGAGTTGAAGCTTCTAATAATGCATGCAACTAGTAGTGCATCTTTAGAATGTAAAAAAAATCGTATGTAAAGATCGATTATATCACTAATATATAAGTGTGACTAAATTCACTTAAATTCATGGTGTTATTATGTGATTTTTAAAATGTAATTGGATGTAATCGATTGTCAACTAGTGAGCAAACATATGGTTTGTGCTTGTGCTTATTTTACTGAAGGTAGTAGTTTCTCCTAGATAATATTTCCATGTTTATAAAATCATGATGGAAGTTGTGCATAAGTTTGACAGTTTGAGGTTTGACTGAGGGTTTCAGTAACAGATTGTGTTTAAAGATGATTAAGCACCATACACATCATAAATTTCAATCTGCTCATTAGTTAGCATTCCTCATTGTCTTCATTTAACACTTCGTTTTCTAAGGGAGAAACTATTGAGTTCTTTCCTGATTATCTTGCAGGTCACAATTGTGGATAAGCCATGTCCTATAGTCATGAAGGTTCGTCTGCCAGTTTCCTTTTAAGCACCCCAGAAAACATTTATGGTCGTTTTTTTTCTTTATTGCAGAATATTTACAGACTTCTGCTGAATAATACTGAGAGTATCAATATAATCTTCTAATGCAGCTTAAACGATGGGAGAGAAAGGAATGTAAACCAAACAGTCTGCCTGTGCTGCACAAGATGCACGTCAAGCTCGGAGACACAGTGAAAGTTATCTCAGGCCGTGATAAAGGTAAAATTGGTGAAATTACTCGGCTTTTCAAACATAATAGTAGTGTAATCGTGAAAGACATAAACTTGAAGACAAAGCATATGAAGAGTAGAGAGGACGATGTACCAGGACAGATTGTCAAGGTGGGTATCATCACCATCGTCAAATTTGTTCTTTTAAATATTTATTCAATATTTTTTTAATGTCATGAAATTCATTATTGAATATCTTTGATTTCCAGTGCTTTTAGTGCTTACAAGATATCACCTTAATGACAGATTGAAGCTGCCATTCACAGTTCAAACGTGATGCTGTATTCAAAAGAACAAGACGTAGCAAGTCGAGTAGGCCATAAAATCCTAGATAACGGAAGCAGGGTGCGGTACCTCATCAAGACTGGTGAAATAATTGATAGTGCAGAGAACTGGAAGAAGGTCCACAAAGAAAAAGAGGAAGAGAAAGAAGGAAAAACAACCTGAACTCAACTGGACTCATCGCTTTAATGTATGTAACATCTAATCCCTTCTGGACGATATCTGTGTTGTCGTTCTTTGTTTCAATTTTGGCTTCACGTCGTAAGATTTGTTTTCTACTGTAGCTTTTGCCCAGAGCATGCATTTTCTACTGCTTCAGCTCATGTTTGAAATCTTACTAATGTCGATGCTCGCTAAAGTCTTATATTTTTTAAATTATATCATACCGATTTTTATCCTTTTGAATATTATTGTAGCATACAAGCCATAACTTTCTGATCTCTATAGACATAATTTTTGTGCACATTCAAAGAATATGCAACTCGAATTCAGTTTTCAGACTTAAGTTCGTTATAACTTACTTCGTTATATGGTTCTATTGCTAACATTGATTGAAAATTTGAGAGAATGATACTTGAAAGAGGGATAATGATGACTTGAAGATTGCAAGCTTAGTATGCAAAAATGAAACTCTAGTATGATTAGTGTAATGACTGTTTGGTGAAGAGTAAATCGGCATGGATAGCTAAATCAAACATTACAATATACAACAGGCTATTGTTTTCTTTTTGATGCCTGAAGTTTCTTCAATATGCTTTCTAGAGCTGCTATATTTGTAGGTGGTAAAGGCTGTTTCGTTGTCTCTCTTACTAATTTGGCGTAAGTGTTGATTCATCATGATTATAATTTCATACCCTAAGAATTCCCCTTGTAGGCTTATTACACTGGTAGAGGACTAATGAGGGTTCTTATTACTGATTTCTTTTGCTGCTATGGATATTGAGTTTTTTTGGTGGTAACATTTGAATGTAGATCACCATGTTTACAAACATACAAAGTAAAAAAAAAGAAAAAAAGAAAAAAAAACCCAAACAACCGAAAAAGGAAAAAGAAAAAAGGAAGAGGAAAGCATTAACCAAGTAGAAGGATTCAATAGCCTACTGATTTCCCTTCACAAGTGAATGTTCCCCAACAATGACATGAATGTTGGAGAAATTTGAGAATCAAAAGGGTCAAGTTCTGCAACTGCAGTGGAACCAATTTCCTGAAATCAATTTTAATTTAATTTTGCAATTTCTACTCTTGGACCTAATTTAAACCTAGTCTGATTTTGGCCGATAATTAGACCAGAATTAATTTGGGGTGCTGGTCTAAAATAAACAGGATTATGTCTAGTCTGAAAAATATTGCGAGAAAGAGAAAAAAGGAAAGGGGAAAAAAACAGCCAAACTGAATTTAACACAAACTTGAATCAAATAAAAAAAGGTCATATATATTAGTTCTGAACCAGTTTTAGTTAACAGTAACCAAACTAGGTTTAACTTAAAACTAATCCTATGAAAATCAATTTATACTTAATTATCTATAGACCAAGTACAACTATATTAACATTAATCTGGTTTACTCCTCTCTCTCTCTCTCTCTCTCTCTCTCTCTCTCTCTCTCTCTCATACACACTCACAAAAACACTGTTTTGTTATATTTCTGATTGGTTTGGGCTCTTCTCTGCTCAACAACTGTGAGGATTCAGAAGTAGTAATAAGACAAGATGTCCTTCGCATCTTTCTTAATTAATATACACTTGTAGAAGATTTGACTTCACTGACATATGGTTGTTGGTAAACAGCAAGCAACATTCAATATTATTCGGGTTGTTTTTTGCCTTTTAAAAAACCCAAATGTTAAACGTCAAACAAAAGAAGGAAAATCTAACGCTAATCATTGAAATCAAACATCCCATGAGTTCTATTTATTTAGAAAAGAGAAGAAAACAACATTGAAGTCTGTTTCTAAGTTTGGTAGGACAAGGCATCATGTACCACTGAACATATTATGTCAACGCTGTTTGGTTACCTTCTATTGAAAGTTTGTGTAGAGAAAATAATTTTGTCATGTTGTCTAATATTTCCAATAAAATACTCGGTTGAATTTCGTAGATTTATGACTGGGTTTATATCAAGTTGGCTTCTCTACCGACTGTAATCAAAGATTTATGGTATTATGTATTATTATAGTAATGTTTGGAAATGATTGAATTCTGCGACTTGAGGAATTGTATATGATGTTTAAAGAAAAAAATGTTATGAAGCCGTGAGTTTTAGTTTCCAGTTCCATAGGAAAATATCAGTTGTAAATGTTTAATTGTATTGTACTCATTTCTAATTATCTTGAGCAGCTAGGGAAAAAAAAAATTAAATCCTCCAAGCATGGATGGACTCTTTATGGGAAAACAAGAACACTGAAGAAATTACAGAAACTCAGAAGAATCAGGCAAACCAGGCGGCGGTCGACCGGTCCGGTCGACCGCATTCGTGCACAAGGAGATCGGTCGACTGTGTACTTGGGAAGAAGACTAGAGTGAAGTTCGGCACCGCTGTTCATAACACCCAAGGTACATTGGATTATATTCACACGGACGTTTGGGGTCCTTCCAAGAACACATCTCTTGGTGGGGCCAACTATTTTGTCACTTTCATTGATGATTATTCCAGGAGGAATTGGGTATACCCGATGAAGCATAAACATCAGGTCCTGGATATTTTTGTGGAGTGGAAAAAGAAAGTGGAGCTGCAGACAGGTAGAAAGGTGAAGACTCTACGTTCAGATAACGGTGGAGAGTACAAGAGTGATCCGTTTCTGCAGTTTTGCCGGGATCACGGCATTAGAAGACACTTCACAGTTCGAGAGACACCGCAACAAAACGGGGTGGCTGAGAGATTGAACCGTACCTTGCTGGAGAAGGTGCGGTGTATGATGACGCAAAGTGGATTGCCTAGATCTTTTTGGGCCGAGGCGTTGGTTTATGCGAGCCATCTTGTGAATAGGTTGCCGTATTGAACCGTACCTTGCTGGAGAAGGTGCGGTGTATGATGACGCAGAGTGGATTGCCTAGATCTTTTTGGGCCGAGGCGTTGGTTTATGCGAGCCATCTTGTGAACAGGTTGCCGTGCACTGCGATAGACGGGAAGACTCCTTTGGAGCGTTGGTTTGGTTCGGTGGCTAGTGACTATGAGTCGCTTCGGATATTCGGGTGTCCAGCTTATTATCATGTCAGTGATGGCAAATTAAATCCGAGAGCGAGGAAAGCAGTCTTTGTGGGATTTAGGGATGGAGTCAAAGGCTTCAAGTTATGGGATCCACAGGACAAGAAGATAGTTATTAGCAGAGATGTCACATTTGACGAGGCGTACATGATGAGGCCTCGAGCCCCTCAGCAGGTGGAGGGAGACCAGACAGGAGAGATATCGCAGCAGGTGGAGGATGATGTGACTCCACCCACTCCAGAGAACACTGTATCCATTGAGGCTCCTACAGAGGTGACACTGGGAGGAGATGAGATGACAGATGGGCAGATACAGGATACAGTAGATCATGGGACTCAGGAACAGGGTCATGTTCAGAGGACCATTGCAGCAGATAGACCGAGGAGAGAGATTCGTCGGCCAGCTAGGTATAATGATGTCATGGTCGCATATGCATTATCAGTGGAGGTCGTTGATGATATGGTTCCAGCCACATTCAGGGAGGCAGAGTCTAGCCCCGATTCGATCAGGTGGAGGGAAGCTATGAAGGAGGAGATGCGGTCTCTTCAGAAGAACGACACTTGGGCACTTGCACAGCTACCTAAGGGTAAGAAAGCTATTGGTTGCAAGTGGGTATATGCGAAGAAGGAGGGATCCTCTATTGGGGACATTCGGTTCAAAGCCAGATTAGTTGCCAAGGGATATGCACAGCTTGAGGGCATTGATTACAACGAGGTATTTTCACCCGTTGTGAAGCATTCGTCGATTCGGATTTTATTGGCGTTGGTGGCACAGTTGGATTTGGACTTGGTCCAGATGGATGTGAAGACAGCCTTTCTACATGGTGATTTAGATGAGGAGATCTACATGACACAACCACAGGGTTTTAAAGCTGCAGGAAAGGAAGATTTGGTTTGTAAGCTAAAGAAGTCTCTTTATGGTTTGAAGCAGTCACCAAGACAGTGGTATAAGAGATTCGACGGCTTTATGATTGGCCGAGGGTACACGAGGAGCCCATATGACCCATGTGTTTATATGCACAAGCTACAGGATGGTGAGCTCATATATTTGCTTTTATATGTTGATGATATGCTTATTGCTTCCAGGAATTCTTCGGCTATTCGAAAGCTAAAAGAGGAGTTATCATCCGAGTTTGAGATGAAGGATCTTGGAGAGACAAAGAAGATATTGGGTATGGAGATCGAGCGAGACAGGGTGAAGGGGAAATTAAAGCTAACACAGAAGAGTTACTTGCAGAAGATGTTGAAGAAATTCAGCTTTGATGACAATGCAAAAGCAGTTAGCACACCATTAGCTCCCCACTTCAAGCTTTCAGCGTTGATATCACCTGTTTCAGTTGAGGACAGAGATTATATGTCGAAGGTCCCATATGCCAGTGCAGTAGGTAGCTTGATGTATGCGATGGTGTGTACGAGGCCAGATTTGTCACAAGCCGTGAGCATGGTATCGAGATACATGCATGACCCCGGGAAGGGTCACTGGGAGGCCATGAAGTGGATTCTACGGTATGTTCGAGGCACCGTGGATGTTGGTTTAGTGTTTCAGAAGGATGAGAAGGACGGGCAGGCTTGTATTGGTTATGTGGATTCAGATTATGCTGGAGATCTTGACAAACGCCGGTCTACGTCAGGTTATGCTTTCACATTGGCAGGTGCACCTGTATGTTGGCGTTGCACGCTTTAGTCCACAGTGGCTCTCTCTACTACAGAGGCAGAGTATATGGCAGTTACTGAAGCTATTAAGGAGGCTTTATGGTTGCGTGGATTATTGGAGGACATGGGGATCACTCAAGAGACTATTCGGATATATTGTGATAGTATGTCGGCTATCTATTTGGCGAAGAACCAGGTTTATCATGCGCGCACGAAGCACATCGACGTCAGATTCCACTTTGTACGGGACGTCTTGGATGATGGAGATGTCATATTGGAGAAGGTCCACACAAATGACAACCCTGCAGATATGTTGACCAAAGTTGTTTCAGGAGTGAAATTTGGTCATTGTTTGAAGCTTTTGAACATCCTTCAGTGCTGAGGCCTTTGGAGGCCATTAGTATGAACTACGTTCGGCTTGATTCCTTGGGCAAGAGGATACGTAGGCAGTCTTTAGATGCAGCCGGTTTGATCAGTTGATCAAGATGGGGGGAGATCGTGTTTCAGCTCGAGTATTGTTCCTGGACTTGTTGAGGAACTATTGGATGGTTTGGTGTCGGCTCAGTTTTGATGGAAACATTCGCCGCCGGTCGACCAGAATTGATCGCGGTCGACCGGTCCGGTCGACCGACGCTGTTTTGGGCTGGGCTTTCAGGTTTTCGACCCGATTCGTTTTGTAAGTTCTATATATACCTAAACCTGTTTGTTTAGGGTAGAGGTTGGACGAATTTGAGCAGCCAAAGAGAGAGAATCATTGCATCCAATTGTGAGAGAGCTTTGAGAGATCTAGAGATTTGTTTTAGGGTTTGGTCTGAGAGATTTGTAACCCTATTTGTATTCTCTTAATTTCTAGTAGAAAGAACTCCCCCCCTCCTTGCCCCGTGGCAGTGGCGTAGCCAGGATTATTTTTTGCCCTGGGCGAAAAATAAAGGGATTGTATCGAGCAAGAGGAAGTAGAGGAGGTCGATGTTGGCAATTGTGTCGAGCACCGTCAAGCTATGTTTGAGGAACACATTGTCGAGAAATTTGTGCATGCGGAGGGAACACATCGGCGATTGGGCGAAAGTGCAAAGCTTCTAGTAGTAGAAATTAAGAAAAACATCCTTAATTGATAAAAAAATCATTCCAAAGCATTGACTGAGATGCGCTTCAATGCTAGACTGGATAGTAGAAAGCTGATTTGAATGTAGAGAAGATGGAACGGATCCTACCAAAGAGTCCATGCTCATTTGCTTTCCATAGCCATTTAGATCAATGTTGAACTCCTTCAAATCTACAACTCCCAATCCAGCTTCTTTCTTGCTCTTAGTAACAAGCTTTGCACTTTCTTGCCCTGGGCAGCTGCCCAGGGCAAACACAACGTGGCTCCGCCACTGCCCCGTGGACGTAGGCAACTTGCCGAACCACGTAAATTCTTGTTCTTGCTGTGATTGTGGTTTGCATATTGTTTGTGGTTTAGTTCAAGTTATTGTTCGTGTTGCCCTAGAAAGCTTCCGCCGCGCACAACAAACACCAATGTTCTATTCTTAAAAGAAAAATAATAAAAAAGAGAGGGGAAAAACAAAGTGACACAATTCATTTTGTATTAACTTATACAGAAGAAACCAAGAAATATCTATACCATATTCATTGAGAGATAGAGAAAGTGTCATCTTGTCATATTTATATTATCTTAATGTACACCTGACCCCACAATTACCTCATTTCTGCACTTCCTGAACTGAAACATTTTTTCACTCAATTCCCAGGGAATTCAAGTGCATGTAGGGAACCCTGAGTTTAAGATTTAGCTCTAAACAAATGCTCGTGGCCATCTCAACACTGAATTCAAATTTGCATTGATGAGTTCTAAAGTCCCTCGTTTTCAGTCTTGTCTCCTCTCTATCTCAGAATCTAGGGGGGAAATATAGGGCCAAATTGCACAACAATGTGATAAAGTTTCCTTTTTAAGGAAAAATTCCTGGAAAAAAGACAACCACAAGTTGCATTTTGGTAAAAAGGAAATACCATAAAATTTCTAAAATTTACACATTATTACCATTGATCATGCAAACTAAAAAAAATTTACTCGGATGTTTCTCTATGTACATACAAATTTTAGAGTTTTAACAATTAACATTTGTTAAAAAAATTATTAGAAATATCCTAACTCTATTTGAAGTAGAACTAACGTAAGTTTGAAAAAGAAAATTTGTTGATTTAATAGCAGATTTAACAAATATTATTAGTTAAAAAGCTCTAAAATCAGCATGTAAGTATTATAGAGAAACATTCAGGGTGAAAGTTTTTACCTTTGCATGATCGATGGCAGTAACATTAAAATTTTATAAACTTTATGGTAATTTTTTGTACCAAAAACGGGAAACTTTGTGCAACTTAGCCAAAAAATAGTGCAGGCGGTAGCTATGATTGTACAAGTTCCATTAGTTCACATTTATGTATGACCATAATATTTTTTGAGAGAAATGTATGACCATAATATTTAATTAGACATTAAGATATTGATTTTGCTAATCAAAGACTACTCATTATCTCTACTAGTGAGCACATTAGCTGGCTTCTAGAAAAACAAGACTGTTAAGCCCAATAATTAGCATAACATGCCAAAGAGATCTCCCACCAAAAACCAGAGCATACGTAATAAATATAAATTTTGAGAAAAATTGATGCCTTAACAAACTTGACCATAACTTGCCATCCTCATTCTTCATACCTTTAGACGTCTCTATTGTTCCTTCAGTCAGAGACTTGCCCGAGAACCAAATTACTGCAGTAATAAATTGAACAGTTGACTGTAAAAACTCAAGCTCCCCCACATCACTGAAGTTATAAATTTTTTCTTCAGAGAGGTGGGTGTAGCCCTAAATTGAACAGTTGTAGAACAGTAAGGAATCCAAGAAGCCAGCGCACAAGCTTCTCACTTTAGTTCAAATCTGCTGACACCAATACACATGCCATCATTTAATGAGGATAGAGATGGGACAGGCTTCTCTATGAACACGGATATTGCTTGCGTTTGGTTACGGTAGTTGATAAGATGAACAGTACAAACCATGAAGACATCAAAACAATTTGTAGTTGTTACATAAGACATCAAAATCTTTTAGACTGTATGTCATGAAGAATCCAGTCCTAAACAAAAAAAATTACAGAAGAAGGCAAACTGGATAAACTTTCTTCAGGGTTTACATATTACCACAAAACATGGTAGAAGAGCCTTAGGATTAAGCAAGTAGAGTTCCTCAATGTTGGAATATAAACCAACTTTGCCTGCTAACGAATCGAACCCGGACTGGCCGGTGAATTCTTGAAAGTTATCCAGAGGCTTGTGAACTCTTCCAGCAATCACTCTACAGACCATCAAAGCCTTTTTTACAGAAGGGTTTTCTTCATAAACTTCAATTGTATCAAATGCCCTTCCACTGGTTGAAGTTGTGAAAACTCCGACCTCTCCTTTCTTTATCAAAAACCCTTGCCTTATGACTCTGCAGACGTTGCATTTCTCCGATAGGCAAAGGCTTGAGGAGCCGTTCATGCCTAGAGAGCAAGCAATTGTCGTGCCGTAGAATCTTAAGAGCTCATTGCCATCGGCAAGACAACGAGGGTGCTTCTTTGAGAGTTTGCTGGCTTTGATTTTGACAGTTTCTCGATGTTCTTCAAACCTGGCTAGGGTTTTCTGCATGTTATGGACCTTTAGGACCCTTTCAATCCGTCCACAGTTGCTTTCAGATTTTAGCCAGCTTGTTCTGCATATTATCTCTACTATCTTTCTGGAGGAGTCACCTTCGGCGAGCTCAGTAACTGTGGAGATGAACAAGAACTAGTATGTTAACAACAATGTCTGCGTGTGAATTACGTGCTAAAGGAGCAAACATATTGCAGTCACAGAAAATATTATGTGGATGTCAATTTGAAACCTTGGTATAATTTGATTCAAGCAGGATAGAAAGGAAGAATGGTAGTATTTTTACAATCAATCCTAAATTGTTTACAATCAAATTCTACCAGTCTTCAATTGATGATAACTTGATTCAGGACAAGCAAAGAGTCAAACAGAACTATATTTTGAATTGTTTACAAAAAGTGCAACTAAACCATTTAGTTGAAGAACAAAGGGGATTTGGATGATTTGCCCAATTATTGAGGACCCGATAGACAATACTTTAGAACACCATAGTTCCTCTAGTCAAGTATCACTTGTTAACCATTTACCCTTGTTCAAGTTTAGCTCTATTGCTAACTCAAGCAATTGTGTTGATGGATATTCCTTCAGTAAAAGAATGGTTCCTAAAATCTCCTAGCTTTAACCAAAGGGGCAAGTCATTAGAAACATTAGCAATCATAGGATGTTATATTATAAAATGAGTACTTCACTCCCTTATCAATTATTGGCAGATTTTATAAAATAAGCAGATAAATAAAAATCTGGGTAGGAACTATATAGATGAATCCATTGAACACATTTCCGATAGATAAAAGACACTCCCAATTCAATGATAAAACACACGATCTTCTAATACAGAACTAAATAAACAGAGAAACAAAATTCACAAAAAAAAAAAGAAATACCCAAGGAGCAAAAACTGATATCAGAGACCACCCACATGATCACCCAACAAAACCTAAGTAAAAGCTTAGTAACTATAATTAGGAACAAACACTGAATAATCGTTACCTGCATGTTTGGAGAGATGATGAGACTCCAAGGCCTGCCACTTGCTAAACTGCTCCCCACACCTATGACAGCTCACATTAGCAGAGCCACCTCCATTAGCACCACCCTCGAGGGATGCCCTGGCCATTACATAGCTCTGCTGACTCTTCACAACTCCATTACCGAAAACTGCATTAGAGAGAGAAGAACCCACTCTCTCCCCAGACAGAGGAGACTTCCTCTGAGAAGAAGCATGGCCAGAGCTTGCTCCTCGAACAGAAGGATTATACTGAAGCCCAAGATGGGCTCCAGGCCCAGGAGTACCTGGCCTCAATGTCCCCACAAATGTAGAGCCCAAAAGCCCATTGCCACCGTTTTCATCATTCTCATGGCAAGAAGCTCCAAATCCAGTGATTTTGAGCTCACACTTTGAGTTTCCACTAAGGATAACTTCATGGGTTATCGGATTTAAGAAATCACTGCTACCAATGGATCTTGGACTGCAACTTGCAGGCCTCTCTAAGTGTCTCTTGCTCCCATGAATGACTACATCCTTGAGGTTGGCTATGGATCTTGAGCAACCAGACCTTGGGGCTTTCCTTGTTAAGATAGAGCTAAGATGAGGATGATGATGATGAGGTTGATGATGATGATGGGCTCTGGACTTTGGATCAACTACATCTGAGGGCTCAGATTTGCAGTGGAGAGATTTCTTCAAAGAGATCCAAACTGTTGGCATTTTTCTCCTCCTCTTATCTCTTTTGCTCTCTTTGTGTGGCCCTTTATCTTCTTTTATTTCTTCACTCTTCTCTCTGTTACAAGTCTTTCAATTTCTGGTAGCACAATCACTCTCCATTGCCAAATCCATGCTAGCCACCATTAAAAGCTTCACCTTTGACACCCTTCCGTCATTAGGAAGATTTTTCTTTTGAAAACTCCATACAAGCCACCCATACGAGGAGAAACAGGGGACTAGGATTAAAACGTTCAGAAAAATCCTATCTTGGAAGGTAAATCCAACTCAGAGAAGAGCCTACAGGGAGCAAAATCAAATGTAGGAGGAAGGATTTTAAACGAAGGTTTTCAGGATAGAAAAGAGACAAGCTTTGGCTTCAAAGGAAGAGGCCAAAGAGACCCAGAAAGAGCAAAAACCAAATACAACAAGCAAAGGGAGAAGGAAGCCAAATATATTATCATTGATTTTAAACTCAATAAAAAAGAAAAGACTAATGGGCATTCAAATGATGGAATCTTTTGCTCTTTGAGCCATGAGAACCTACAAGAAAACATTGGCCATACGCATTAATTAATGGTTGCACTCTGACCCTGTCGCCATATGAGAGAGGGGGAGAGAGGGGCTGCATGCAAATTATAGGAGCTTTTGTAGCAGAAATCTAAGGAGGTCTCAACAAAAGAGTAACGCCAGGTGGCATATTGTTATTATCTTGAGCTAGCAACTTAAATTACACTATCACCCATTCCATGCTTTTCCTTTTCCTCTATTTCATCTGATTATTCTTGCCTTTTTACATTGACCTGATTATTATTAAACAGAAAAAAAGGGGGAAATGTGAAGTTATTACACCCTTAATTCAGTCAATAAATTGCATTGAATTACCTACTTACTTCAGAGCTGCGTCTCCATCATCCAAATATCCAATGACCTTCTCAATGTGAAGAATACCGAGCATATCTGCTCTTTTAAAATACCCAGAATGCCCTTCTGCATTTAAAATATAGAGTTATGGTGAACCCACCTTTGCTGTTGAAGAGAGAGAGAGAGAGAGAGAGAGGGGAGGAGGAGGATTGGACCCATTAGTTTGATTCAGACCCCATCTAAGGTCCACATGTGAATAAATGCATATCTTTGATAGGTGCACTGGAGTTATTATGATGCACAATTTTTGTAGCTCTCCTCTTGTTTAGGGTCTATTGATTAAGATGGTCCAATTTGATGAGCCTAAATTGGAAATTAGCTCCCTGTGTCAGATCAGAGGCCCAAATTTAGGCTAGGCCCACACATTGAAAGGATACCCACTTTTGCAACTCGTGTACTAGGACCGCCCAACACACACTGGGCTCTTTTATTGTCTGTAGAACAAAATGTAGCAGTTAAAGTTACTAACTTTGCTTTATATTTACATGAAAATGATAGGTATGTACATGAGTTAGTAAAGGCGTAACTAGCTAGGAAATCTTGGTATAGGTTTGGAGTGGCCTAGTTTAGCTGGAGTACAAAAGAGTACAATATTTGATAATTTAATTACTAAGATACACAGTATAGACTCAAGTTGCTAACCACCTCCAGATCCTTTTCAGTTAATTCCCTTCGCCTCACTCTAGTTGATGGAGGATTGAGATCCAATTTCCTCCAAATTATATGGAACAACTTTTTGCCGAGTAAAGTTCAGATCTTCTTCTGGCTTCTTAGTTCCCTTAGACTGAAGACCAAAGATAGACTCGTCTCTCAAGGGTGGCTAGCAGACTCAAGTTGCAATTACTGTTCAGAGCAAGAATCACACGACCACCTTTTCTCCTCTTGCCACGGGACTCAATTAATCTGGTCCCCTTTTCTTCTTAAATTAGGTATTGCCTCTCTTCCAGCAAGCACAGAACAGTGTCTAGCTCTATGCTCAGATACTTCAGTCCAAGCATTTGTCCGCCTATTATGGGGTGTTTGCTTCCCTACCATCAGTTGGGTACTGTGGCAAGAGCGCAACAACCTTATCTTCTCCAACATCTCGTCTTCTCCTCATAGCATTATCAAGAAGTCTGTTAACTTCATTCTCCTGTGGGCAGGGGCATCCACCTCCAAGAAGTCGATCAAGATTAAGAAGCTGATTCAAGCCGTGGGTATCTCAGATATCCTAGAATCGAGTAAGGACAGCAACTCGACGACATGAGCCGAAGATGACTTCCAGCTGGTCACTGTTCCTTCTCTTGGATCTTTTTGGTCTCCTTTTTGGGCCGTGGATAGCCTCCTAGCTTCTTTTTTGTTTTTAGAGGGCTAACCACTGCAGTTATATAATTGTTTTCTGTTTTCTTTCCAAGACATCTACTACTGATTTGGCATTTTCTCCACCTCGGAGACGTCGCCATAATCAGCAGTAGATATCTTCTTTTGTAATCTCTCCTGACTCTGGGTTTCAGTTATATATTGATAGGGAAATCCCTATTTTCACTAAAAAAAGATACACAGTATAGACCTATTACTAAGATACACAGTACAACCTAATTTAGGGGCTATTTGGTTCGTTTCCTAGATATAGGGAATTGTAATTTCATGTAAAGAAACACAAGTTTTTAGTTTTCTAAACTTTTCCAAAAAATAGATTGTTTTGGTTTGGTTCGCACAAAAAAATGGTGGGAAACCAATGTATTTACTTTTCTTGTGTTTGGTTTGCATTCTCCTTATGAATGTAATTATTATAACAAGAACGGATAGTGCAGCACATTGAACCACATTAACAACACTTTGTTCATCAGTACAATCCCCATCACCATCCATCTCCACATTAACAACACTTTGTTCATCAGTACAATCCCCATCACCATCCATCTACGATGCAAAAATCAAATTGAAATAATTAATATACCTACCAAGCATCACCATCCATCTACGATGCAAAAATCAAATTGAAATAATTAATATACCTACCAAGCATTCATATGCAAGTCAATAATCAAAACTTAAATGACGCATAGCAAGATCTAAAGTTAATTTTCAGTTAATATTTTCAGTTACTTTAAGACCATTTAAGATAATTCTCAGTTCATTTCTGTAATATTTTCAATTATATTTATAATGATTAATATAATTTTTAGTTAATTACAGTAATATTTTTAGTTAATTACAATTATATTTTCAGATAAATTTCTGTTAATTTTTAGATAACTATAGAAAATGCAAAATTTTATCATAATAATTCAAATCATACAAAATTTTCAAGTTAATTTTTAGATAACTATAGAAAATGCAAAATTTTATCATAATAATTCAAATCATACAAAATTTTCAACAAATCAATTCTGAGTTGAGAATCATAGCAAAATTTTATCATAATAATTCAAATCATACAAAATTTTCAACAAATCAATTCTGAGTTGAGAATCATACCTTTGGTCTAAAATCAGTTTCCAGGAAGATCAAAGTCGGCAAAAAACCCGAAATTTTTCCCAATAAAGGCGCTGATTTTTTAGCAAAATCCAGCAAAAACACCAACAAATAGGAACTAGGACCTTCTTCTATAGAAATCAAGCATAAAATCAACAGTATAAAACTCCCGCAAGCCACGAAGAGAAACCAAGGCGCGAAGAGTGAAAAAGCGAGGAAAAGAGGAGGTGACCCTAGCCCTCAGCTCCGTTTCCCCCCAAAAACCCGAGATCTGACAATAGTACAGATCGGGGGCGATTTCCTCTCCTTTTCGAAGGAAATGGGGCGGAAAAAAAAGTCTGATGTAGAGGGGATTTCCGGGGCTGGAGGGACGAGAGGGAGAAGCGAACCAAAGCTAGGAAACGAAAACCCTAGAATGGGTTTTGTCAATGTGGAGCGGGTGTCAGGAGGAGAAAAACATTTCCACGGCTCAAAATAGCGAACCAAACAGGCCCTTAAGTGATTTGTTTTTCCAATTCTAAACTCATTCCGCTTCCTAATCCATCTTTGACCTTTCATAAATAATTGCAAATTTTCAACACTTGACCATAACTACCACTTTATTGACCTTTCTTAAGTTTCCCCAAGTTTGTAGATAATGAATAATTAATTTAATCCTTTTATTCATCTATTCTTTTAGGGCCTATTTGGTTCAATAGAGGGTAGGAATAGGATTAGGAATCCTATTTTATTTATGGATTCCAACATAATCCATAAAAAATTTATAGACAAATTTTAGTTTTATGGAATCCCATTTTTTTTGTATTCTATGTTTGTTTCACCCAAAGAATTAGGAATAAGATTAGGAATCAGAATAAAAAAGAGGAGAGGTGTCAGAAATTCCACCCAATTCCTAGCAAATGCACTGGATTTGGATTTCCTGAAATATACACTGTTTGAGCCACTTTATAGATTAGCAATTCTATAAATTTTTTTTGAACCAAACTCAAGATTAGGATTCATTTGGAATCCATTAATTACGAAAATGCCATTGTCAGGTCCAAATACCATTCCTATTCCATAAAATTGGTGAAACAAACAGGCCCTTAGAGTGCTGCTACAGGGACCCCAAAAATAGGGGACCCTGAGTGGGACAGGTAAGGTGTCGCCTCCCTATCCCGTGATGCACTGTTCATGACAGTGCATCACAGGACAGGGAGGCGACACCTCACCTGTCCCACTCAGGGTCTCCTTTTTTGGGATCCCTAAGGTATTTTTCATTCTTTTATGCTGGATAATCTTTATTACATCTTTATCCTTTTTACTCTCACGGGACAAATCAAAAACTCTCACATGACGAACAAAATCCACTCTTAACAGTTCTGTCTTCAATGGTTCATCTGAGAGGGTGAAAACAAACAATAAAGGGAAGAAGAAAAAAAAAACCATGTTTCACTTAATGCCTAACCATATATTTTCATTACGTCATCAGCTATTTACGGAGAAGCAATATGGGCTAAAGTCCATTATTATAGCTCTTTGCAACATGAGATTATGTCATGGTGAGAATATTCCATATATCTCCCTCAGTACCATACATCATTTGGGATACGATCATCTTTATAACTTAAAATAGGTGGGTAAAAAAATTGAAGACATTTGTTTTAAAAATTAAAATTAAAATCTTTTACATGAGTCGTTCTACTCTGGTTAGCTCTCTTAACCTCCGCTCATGGCCAAATAAACTAGGAAATATTTGAAAATTATTCATCCATGTCCTTTTAACTTTCCAAAAAAATAAAAATAAAAATAACATAAAAAGGTTAAAAATAAAAATTATAGAGTTACAATGAGACGGTCTTACTGACATTTATCATCACAATCATCAATTCTTGCTTATTTTCCTTATTATATGTGATGGGAGCTAATAAGCTCATTTCTCCGTTCATCAGCCCTCTAGATCCTCGTTTGGGCAAAGGGCCAGCTAAAATGAAATTACTTTGTTAACCTCTCATGCCAAAGACCGAGGTCATGAGGTGAGTTGAGCAGATTACGAGGCGCTGGGTTGAATTTAAAACGTAAATAACACAGCATTATTAGACCCGAATTAAATTGGTGTCTCTAAGCAAGTGTCAATTAATCGCTCACTTCAATGGTCAAATCTTTGTCTAATTTTGTTATGAATGGACTCACTGCAGCAGGAGCCCAATTATTAGGTCATCTAGATATCGGAGCTGCATCGGTCCCAATTATGTACCAAAAAATCCGGTTCATTGGTAAAGTTTATTATTGTAATTAGCAGAGATGTGCCAGCATCAACGTGCTAATAACCAATTTATAATGTGATTTCACTCCCAAAAATAGAATAAGAAAATAATTTGTTGTCCGAAACTTCATGCACTGCTGTCCTAGTTTATAAATGATGAAATTGTTCTTGAAGATGAACGGAATTTCTTTTATTTTTTTTCTTGACATATTGTTAATCCCTCTTGGTTTTACAGTGGCTTTTAGGTTGCGGTAGTCAGCTGGATCCAGGCATTGGCACAGCCAGCCTACCTTAGTATTATGTTGACAAAACACAAACTTGTCTGGAAAAATTGTGAATTCAAATTTAAAGTAAATACATTTATGAATGACATAACATGTACAACTGCAGATGTTATATTGTCAAATGAAATCGATGCACAAATGCGAGTTGTTGGAGGAGATAAGTTTATATTTTGTCAAGTTTAAAATAGGGAGGTAAAACATTTGTGCATGTTTTTTAATGTGTGTCGTTGATGTGGACGAGTTTATATTTTGTCAAGTTTGAAGCAGAGGTAAAAAATGTGTGTATTTTTTTTTACAACTCGCATTCATGTATCAATTCCATTTGATAAGATAGCATGGAGAACTTTATTACCTCCGTATTTCAAATTATTGACCATATAAGTTGCACCCTTCTCTCCTCTGATTTAAGGGTGGGGAAAGTGATTCATGTATCACTTATTAAGATGCTATGATTTTACCATTGGAATAGTAATAACAATAGCATGGAATTTTATACATTAAATCCAGATTAGACTAGAAAATGAATGCTTTTAAGAATCTTTTGTTTTTTTTTTATATTTTCAGCAACAAAGAGGAGGGAAAAGGAGTTAAAAAGTAAGAGGAAAAAATAAATCTTAGTGCCACAACATTTGATGCTAATTATAGAGTTATAGACCCAAGTATCATTTTCATATCCTTTTATCTCAAAAATAGCACAAGAATCTCTACACCAATGCGGGGAGACTCAACGGTCCGTCCCATTTGCACCAATTTCTCCCGCGTTTCGTTACATCTCTGTTCAACAAAATTTCCCCCAATTAAAAAAAAAAAATAGAAACCCTAAATTCCCAAATTTGGTCGCAAGGCGGCGCCCTCCTATCTCTTTGCCCCATTTGAGTTGGACCGGCCTAAGAGGGAGAAACCTAAGAAATCTCTCTGGTTTCTTCACGTTTCTCCCAAAAAAATCGAACCGTTATGTTCTAATTATTCAGCTGGCGTTTTCATTTGAATTTATCCGCTATCTGGAGAAAATCCCAATTTGGTTCAAATTTTTCCGAAGGGTAATGTTCTCATGATCCCGAAGATTGGAACTTTTTGGTGAAATGAATAGGAGGGCTGATTCGAGAGATGATGGGTTTGAAAATAAGTGGATTTTTGGGGCTATTTATGATGTTATTGCATTTGGCGACCTTGAGAGTTTTGGCGGGAAGGCACGGTATGGATGTTCGTTCGTTCTTGGGATCGAATTTTGATGAGCAGACGGTAATAAGGTTTTCATCTTTTTTACTCCTCTGTAATTTCATTATTATGGTATATTATCATTTCTTTTTATTTAATTTATTGGCCTTAACATTGATTTTTGGCAATGAAATTGTTGAATGTGCCTGCTTACTAAATTGGATATTGCATTGTGGAGTTCTTGCCTTCTTGGCTGAATTATATACCATATCTACAACGATGCGCCCTCAAGTTTCTACACCAACCAACCCCCGGGGGGGCGCAAAAAAATAAAATAAAAATTATTTCTTCATTTTGTGGTATGATATCTCTCTCGTAAAGAACGAAAACAATGTGCATCTTTTTTTTGGGTTCATTCTATCTCCCCAAAATTGTCTATGCATGCATCAGAAACCATATCCATGGAAGATTGTACTGTCATATTGTTATTTTGCTGCAAGTTCGTGCTAATGTTTGTAAATGGCTAATTCATTCATTTTATATCCATCGGTGTAATGATAGTTTTAGTTTATTTTTAAAAAAATTCTTTGTAAATTGTGAGAAACGTGACTTTGAAAATGTCTTCATCTGCCTAATTTGGGATTGCTTTTCAAAATTAACAGCCCATTTGTCAGCCTCACCAACCCCTTTGTATATTTTATTATTTTCTTATGACTATATAAGGGGGATGAGGGGAGAGGATTTAATGCATCAGTCGGAGAAAAAAAGAAATCAGAAAAAGAAAATAGAGAGAGAAGAGAATGAGATAGAAAGGTTTTGTCCCTTTCTTTGTGAGAGTCTCTGGTTAGAGAGTGGTCTCCTCTTTTGTAATATTCTCTTTTGGTGGTTAGTAAATTTCTCTGCTGTTCTCGCCCGTGGACGTAGGTCATACTGACTGAATCACGTTAAATAATGGTGTGCTGTTTTCTATTTGTCCAGTCTTGTATAGACATCTTTTGTGTCTGTCAAGCCCCTCCGGTGTAACAAACTGGTATCAGAGCCTGCTTAGAGTACGTGTATCTGCTTATCGTATGCTCTGTGCCTGCCACTAAAAGTGGATCCTCCACATTAGAAAATAAGCTAGATTATCATTTACTCTTTAAAGGCATTAGATACTATTCACGTGTACGGTACTGTTAAAAAATAATGCTACTATTCATACGTAAGGTCATCATTCATACGTACGGTCACTATTCATACGTACGGTTACTGTTCGCAAATACGATTACTGTTCATAAATACAGTTACTGTTCCAATTGGCTTCAAGATGTCTTCTGCGAAGTACAAAGTGGAGAAATTCGATGGGAAAAACAGCTTCAGTTTGTGGAGAGTAAAAATGAGGGCTCTCTGGGAAAAACAGCTTCAGTTTGTGGAGAGTAAAAATGAGGGCTCTCCTAGTACAACAAGGACTGTTCAATGTCTTGTCCGGAAAGGCTAAGTTGTCGGAATCTATGTCCGATGATGAGAAAGAAGAGCTGGAGATGAAGGCGCATAGTACCATACAGCTCTGTTTGGCCGATGAGGTCCTGCGGGAGGTTGCCGATGAAGATACCGCCGGCGGCTTGTGGCTCAAGTTGGAGAGCTTGTACATGACGAAATCTCTGACGAACAAGCTTTATTTGAAGCAACGCCTCTTCACCCTTCGCATAAAAGAAGGTATGCGAATTAAAGACCACTTAGATGAACTTAACACTATTCTTATGGATTTAAAGAATATTGATGTTAAAATTGATGAAGAAGATCAAGCACTCATCTTGTTATGTTCATTACCTCATTCCTATGAAAATTTTGTCAATAGCATGTTATACGGTAGAGATACACTTTCTTTAGAGGATGTCAAACCAGCCTTACATTCAAAAGAGTTAAGGCAGAAAGTGTCTGTCTTAGGAGGAGAGGATCAAGCTGAAGGCTTGTTCGCTCGTGGTCGTCCTGAAAAGGGTGTTGGTGGTAGAGGCAAATCTAGAAACATGTCTAGATCAACGTCCAGGCCAAGAAAAAATGTTGAATGTTATTACTGTCACAAATATGGGCATATAAAACCTAATTGTCCAGCGCTCAAAGCAAAGGATAATTCACAGTCGAAATCTGAGGAGGTGAAACCTTCAGTTGCCACTGTAACTGAAGAGTCTTCTAGTTCACATGAAGTTCTTTTAGTTAGTGTTAATACTCATTCACAAAATGAGTGGGTTCTTGATTCGGGTTGTTCCTACCATATGTGTCCACATAGGAATTGGTTTGTCACATATCAGTCTATCGATGGTGCGAATGTCTTGTTGGGAAATAACATGCCTTACAAGACTATTAGTATCGGATCAATTAAGATTAGAACTCATGATGGTATTGTTAGAACATTGAGCAATGTTAGTCATATTCCAGAGTTAAAGAAGAACCTTATTTCTTTAGGCACCCTTGACTCAAATGGTTTTAAGTTTTCGGCTGAAGGAGGAGTTTTGAGAGTAAGTAAAGGCTCTCTTATTGTGATGAAAGGAAAGAAGGTAAATACCCTCTATATCATTGAAGGTAGTACAGTGACAGGTGCTGCAGTAGTATCATCCTCAGAGGATTCAGATTCAGACACTACACATTTGTGGCATATGCGGTTAGGCCATATGAGTGAGAGAAGACTGGATATATTGAGCAAACAATGTCTGCTTTGTGGTCAGAAAACCAGCAAATTAGACTTTTGTGAGCATTGTGTTTTCGGTAAACACCATAGAGCATTCTTTAGTACCGGTGTCTATAGAACCAAGGGTACTTTAGATTATATCCATTCAGATGTTTGGGGTCCCTCTCAGGTTCCATCGAAAGGTGAAGCTCGTTTTCTGCTAACATTGATTGATGATTATTCCAGAAAAGTTTGGGTGTATCCTTTAGAGCATAAGAGTGATGTGTTTGCAACCTTCAAGCAATGGAAGGTTATGATTGAGAAGCAAACAGGAAAGAAAGTGAAGCGTCTCAGAACCGATAACGGGATGGAGTTTTGTTCTACATAGTTTGATCAGTTCTGCAAGAATGAAGGTATTGTGCGTCATCGTACAGTTCGGCATACACCACAGTAAAATGGAGTTGCAGAAAGGATGAACAGAACACTTTTAGAGAGAGCTCGGTGCATGCTAATGCTGGTTTGTCAAAAGACTTTTGGGCCGAGGCAGTCAATACAGCTTGCTATTTAATAAACAGATCTCCTTCTACAGCAATTAATTTCAAGACTCCAGAAGAGGTATGGTATGCTGTCCCTGCTAATTACTCTCATTTAAGAGTATTTGGTTGCTCTGCTTATTTTCATGTTAATGATGGTAAGCTTGAACCCAGAGCAAAGAAAGCTATCTTTCTAAGATATGCTACTGGGGTGAAGGGATATAGATTGTGGTGTTCTGATCCCAAGTCACCTAAGTTTATTATTAGTAGAGATGTTACTTTTGATAAAAAATTCATACTTCACCCGAGAAAGAAGTTTGTTATTGATACTACAGGCACTGAAAAGGAGTCTAGCAAGCAGGTGGAGCTAGAGAGCTCAACTTCAAAGAGAGTGCTTGAGAGCACTCATGTTGAACCAGTTGATACTGAGGAAGGTTCAACTTCAGATGCTGATACACCGCAAGAGCAACAGTATAATATTACCACCGGGAGAACAAAACGGCAGATCCGACCGCCTCAACGCTATACAGACATGCTTGCTTATGCTTTGAGTGTAGCAGAATTGATTGAGGTTCCAGAGCCTTCTACATACAAGGAGGCTATTAGTGGCAATGATGCTGCAAATTGGACTGTTGCAATGACTGAAGAGATGGAGTCTTTTCATAAGAACCAGACATGGGAGCTAGTGAAGCCACCAAGGGGACAGAAGATCGTTGGCTGTAAATGGGTCTTCAAGAAGAAAGAATGAGCTCCGGATACAGATTCTGTAAGGTACAAGGCACGCTTGGTAGTTAAAGGCTACAGTCAGACTGAAGATGTGGACTTCAATGAAGTATTCTCTCTAGTTGTAAAACACACCTCAATCCGCGTGTTGCTTGACATGGTTGCTCATTTTAATTTGGAGCTTGAGCAACTTGATGTGAAGACAACTTTTCTACATGGCGAGCATGAGGAGCAGGTCTTTATGCATCAACCAGAGGGGTTCATTGTTGAAGGTAAAGAAGATCATGTGTGCAGGTTGAAGAAATCTCTTTATGGGTTGAAACAATCTCTGAGGCAGTGGTATTTGAGATTTGATACTTTCATGATTGAGCATGGTTATTTTAGGAGTAAATATAATAGTTGTGTTTATCATAAAAAGCTCAATGATGGTTCTTTTGTATATTTGCTTTTGTATGTTGATGACATGTTGATTGCAGCTAAAGATATGTCAAAAATCAACGAGTTGAAATCTCAACTCAAACATGAGTTTGAGATGAAGGACTTAGGAGCAGCAAAGAAGATTTTAGGGATGGAGATCCACAGGAACAGGCGAGAAGGAAGTTTATTCCTATCTCAAGAGAAATACATCAAGAAGGTGTTGGAGAGATTTGGCATGCTTGATGCCAAGCCTGTGAAGACTCCGTTTGCCGCTTATTTTCGTCTTTCAGCAGATTTGTCACCTCAGACTGAGGAGGAGGAGCAGTACATGTCTTGTGTTCCTTATGCGAGTGCGGTTGGAAGCATTATGTATGCGATGGTTTGCACCCGTCCAGATATTTCACATGCAGTCAGTGTTGTGAGTCGGTACATGGATAAGCCTGGAAAGGACCATTGGCAGGCTGTGAAATGGATACTTAGATATTTGAGAGGATCTGCTAATATTGGTTTGTATTTTGGCAGGAACACAGACTCAGATTGCAGAATACTTGGCTATTCTGATTCAGATTATGCGGGTGATTTGGATAAGAGACGATCCCTGACAGGTTATATATTCACTCTTTCAGGTAGTGCCATTAGTTAGAAGGCGACTCTACAGTCGACAGTTGCTTTGTCTATTACAGAGGCAGAGTATATGGCAATGACAGAAGCAGTGAAAGAAGCTATTTGGTTGAGAGGTTTGGTTGAATATCTCGGATTACACCAAGGTGTTACTACAGTATTTTGTGATAGCCAGAGTGCTATACATTTGACGAAGCATCAGATGTATCATGAAAGAACCAAACATATAGATGTCAGGTATCATTTTATCAGAGAAATTAAAGTCATCAAGATTGAGAAGATTGGTACTGCAGATAATCCAGCAGATATGATGACGAAGCTCGTACCTTCGCGCAAGTTCGAGCATTGTCTCGAATTGCTTGGAGTTCAACAAAGCGGAGGTTAAGCCCGTAAGGGGCTTCTGGCGAGACAGCAAGAGTAAAGAGAAGATCTTCATTTTCAAAGTCAATGTGTAGATTTGTGAGAAACGTGACTTTGAAAATGTCTTCATCTGCCTAATTTGGGATTGCTTTTTAAAATTAACAGCCCATTTGTCAGCCTCACCAACCCCTTTGTATATTTTATTATTTTCTTATGACTATATAAGGGGGATGAGGGGAGAGGGTTTAATGCATTAGTCGGAGAGAAAAAGAAATCAGAAAAAGAAAATAGAGAGAGAAGAGAATGAGATAGAAAGGTTTTGACCCTTTCTTTGTGAGAGTCTCTGGTTAGAGAGTGGTCTCCTCTTTTGTAATATTCTCTTTTGGTGGTTAGTAAATTTCTCTGTTGTTCTCGCCCGTGGACGTAGGTCATACTGACCGAACCACGTTAAATACTGGTGTGCTGTTTTCTATTTGTCCAGTCTTGTATAGACATCTTTTGTGTCTGTCAAGCCCCTCCGCTGCAACATAAATGGTGAAGTTTGCTTTTGCTGACATATGCTGCTCAGTTATCACTTGGTTACTCCCACACGGTCATTTTCTCAAGTTTCAATCATCATAGCCATTTTCATTCCTTGATGTGTAGTAATCATACAGAAAACTGATGTCGTGTTAGAGCTGCCAATTTCACAATATAAAGTTAAATTTGGTTATAATACTATAGCTTCGATGCAAACTTCATAGTTTTCAATACATACTTAAGGTTGTAATTTTTTTGGGTGAAGGACACATTCTAACACTAAGGACTTGCTCATTTTTCCCAAAAGCTCCTTTTGCAATTGCGGTGTTTATTATTTCCATGATGATGAAACAGCACTTCTACTAAATTTGTTAGAAGGAAAAAACTTTTTCAATCACTTATTTGATGCAAGAAGATGGCTACAGGTGGAGAAAATGTGGCTAGATTGTGGTGTTGATTTAGTTCCTATCAAAGAAGAAGTACAAAAATCTGCTTCTTGCCTTTCACAGGAAACACTTTCTGATTCCACTGAGGACAGCCTAAGAACAGAATTACTTGCGAAGGAGAGCATACAAGAAGCCCTCAATCTTCTGCCACCTGAAGTTAATAGTAGCTTTATCGATTGTTTGATCAGGCAAAACTTCCCCCTTCCTAATTCATCAGAAGAAAGCCTGAGAATTTGGTTTCATAGTTATCTTGAGTCATTACTCGGTGAGCTCCGTTCTTCAAGTAGAGATTTAGCTGCCCAGCCTTCTGATGATCAACCTCCTAATAGAAGAGTTACCCTACAAAAATCTGATGATACTAGTGAAACTCAACTTCCAGCTCCTCCGCAAGGCAACAATAATAATGCAGTTATAATCGCTGTTGCTCTAACTGCAGCAGTTACTGCTGTAACCGTCACCCTTGTATTTATCTGCTATTTTAGATGGCAAAGTCAGACGTATTACACTGGAGGATATTCAATGAGGGACGACAGGCCACTTCTGAGTCTGAGTCTAAGCTTCTCTGGTACAAAAACTCTTTTTATTTGATATCGTTGTTTCAAGCTTGTTTTTCACTAATCTCTTTTCTTCTATATCCAGGTTCTTCACGTAGATCTGTTAGCACTCCAAACAGTATATTAGCCCCACCAAAGCCTCTTAAAACTGATCCAAGCCAAAGTATTCACGTTTCATGCTCGGATGATTCAGCTGAGCTTGAGTCTGTAAATCCAGAAAAGTTCGATTTTTCAAGTTCCCTTTCTTCAGATTCCGCTTCTTTAAATTCCGCCTCTTCAAATTCCAATTCTTCAAGTTCTGATTCTTCAAATTTGAGTTCTTCTCCTGAACCAAGTAGCATAACTAAAGAAACTCCTGCACCTAAACGACGACCACCTCCTCCTCCTCCTTCAGCGCCTCCTCCTGTGAGAAAACCTGCTAATCCTCCAGCGGGCCCACCACCACCACCTCCACCAAAGGCCCAATCAGGTCCTCCACCTCCACCACCACCAAAGGGTGCAGCTCCACGACCCCCACCAAAAATAGGCCCCGCAAGACCTGGTAAGGGCCCACCGCTTGCCCCAAAGGCCCTCGGAGGAGCAACTACAGACAATGCAAATGCTACAAAAACAAAGCTTAAGCCATTCTTTTGGGACAAGGTTCAGGGAAAACCTGATCAGGATATGGTCTGGGATCAGCTAAAAGCTGGTTCATTTCAGTAAGCTTTTTTACATGAACTAGGATTGGTCTTAAGATCTCATTTTGGCGGTTAAATAGATGTTTTTTGAATTTAGGTTTAATGAGGAGATGATTGAAAGCCTATTTGGTTACACTGATAACAAAGGAGGGGAAAAGATTATGTCAAACAAGGATGCTGCTGCACCTGTTAGGATTCTTGATCCTAAAAAGTCGCAGAACTTGGCTATTTCTTTGAAGGCGATGAGTGTGAGATCAGAGGAGGTTCGTGATGCGCTTATGGAGGGTATTTCTCATCTTATTGTGTTCATGAAATAGTATACATAATTTTTTGTTCAAGAAAATCCTTTTGAGAACATCTTGGAATTGCTTCCCGATATTAAAATTTAGGATTTTTGTGGATAGACCCTCTGTAGTATCGCGAAACTGAACTTACTACTTGTGTAGCTCTACTATTGCAGATAGACCTCCTGAATGAATTTTTTTTTACCCTTTTTTGGTGTCTATATGCAACAATAGATTTTCACTCATGGTTTATCTGCAGCAATAGAAGTTCAGGGGTAGTAAGTTTAGTTTGGGAATACAACAGAGGGTCTATACACAATTAATCCTAAAATTTATATAGAATTTTAATATTTTCTTTTGTACCAGGGAATGAGCTTCCAGCAGAGTTACTCCATATATTATTGAAAATGGCACCTACAACTGAAGAAGAACTGAAGATTCGGGCATTTAATGAGCCATCTCAGCTTGGCCCTGCAGAACAATTTATAAGAGCCATAGTGGACATTCCGTTTGCTTATCCACGAATGGAAGCTTTGCTTTTTATGAGTTCTCTGCCAGAGGAAGCCTCAAGTATTTCGCAGTCCTTTTCAACTCTAGAGGCAAGTATTCATCCCAGACTCAATTTATTTTTTCTTTTATTCCTTTCTATTATTTTTAGTTTATAGAACAACTAAAATTAGAACTAGATTTTACTTTCTTCCCATTTTATGAATAAAATGAGTTTAAAGAAGCAGGATTTCGCCTTCTGGAATTTGGATTGAAGCAAAAGTAAGAGTACGATGTAACATTTTTAACATTATGTATGGCCATTCAAATAGGGTAAGCTGGCAGTTGTGTCCATATATTGCAATATTTTTCTGACTTAGGAAGATCAATGTCAACAAAGACATTTGATACCACACTAAAAGAAACTACAGGAACACTGCATAAATAGAATCAAAAAAGAATACACTCGGTTTATCAATCTGCAAAAACAGGGGTATTATTTTCAAAACAGTGATACTACACTACAAGCGGCCTATCTGCAGTTTTTCTAAAAGAAAGTACATAAATAGATGACGCTAGGGGTCTTTCATTCAAATCAATTGAAAACACTTACCTTTGATCCAAAGTTCTTACCACTTACAATATGAATATTATGGAAATTTTCGATCTGTTTGGAACCATATTATTTTATTGTGGAACTTCAACCTGAGCTATTGTATGCTTAATCCACTTCATTCTAGTTTAAAGTGCCTAATTTTTTTGAGCAAAGTTAGGACAGAAAACAATCTTATCTTGCTCTTCATCTATTTCCAGATAGCATGCAAGGAGTTAAGAAGTAGCCGGCTTTTTTTAAAGCTATTAGAAGCTGTTCTCAAAACAGGCAATCGTATGAATGATGGTACATATCGTGGAGGTGCACAAGCATTTAAGCTTGATACATTACTAAAGCTGGCAGATGTTAAAGGAACCGACGGAAAAACAACACTTTTGCACTTTGTCGTCCTAGAAATTATCCGGGCAGAAGGTGTTCGTGCTGTCCGTGCAGCCCGAGAAAGTCAATGCAGCTTTTCTAGCATAACCTCTGAAGATCTTTTTGAAGACCTCCCTAGTGATTCTGGAGATAATTATCGTAGCCTTGGCCTTAAAGTCGTCTCAGGCTTAAGCGGTGAGCTTGAGAATGTCAAAAAAGCTGCATGTTTGGATGCTGATCAATTAACACACACAGTGGCAAGTCTTGGTGAGAGACTTTTAAGGACAAGAGAGTTTCTCAAGACTAAAATGGAGAATTGTCACGACGAGCACCAGTTTGCTCAGTCGCTTAGAGGTTTTGTGGAACATGCTGAGGCTGATGTAACTTCTTTACTAGAGAAAGAGAGAACGGTGAGATTGTTGGTGAAGGAAACTACTGACTATTTTCATGGGAATTCTGGGAAGGATGAGGGGTTAAGGCTGTTTGTTATTGTTAGGGATTTTCTGGCTATGATAGATAAAATATGCAGAGAAGTGAAGTTATTGCCGAAGCCAGCATCAAAAGATTCAAAACCACAGAGAAGTAAAGAAAATCCAGCAACGTCGCCAGCAATGTCGCCTGCTAGAGATCCACGGCAGCTTCTTTTCCCTGCAATCAAGGATAGGCGAATGGATGATTCGGGTTCTGATGATGATGACGACTAGTGAAAATTAGCTTGAAGAGGTACATATTCCTTTTGACTTGTGGAAAATTTTATTGACATCATTTGTTTGATCCGGATATCTAGAACTGCAGCTGATAGTAACTAGAGGACTAAGTTGTATGAATTTGTTGAGGAGAATATTTTTCTAATACCATTGTAGAAAAGCGTTCTCTGTCCTTCGTTTACTACTCTAAGCTACCAAATTATTGAACATTATTTATTCTATGAAAATATGTTTATCTTGATATTTTAGAAGCACTTTGAGTCTTCAATGTTTCTGTTGCTCACCAAATACTGAAGACATGTTTTCAAGGTCATATTCTTCTATGCCCTTCCTCTCAAAAAGAGAATTTTTTTATTTGCATAAAAACTGTGTTAATGACCAATATTCTGTCTGCGAATTGCAAGGATCATCTGAGTTTGATGTTCATGCTGTAGTTTGAGTCAATGCTGATAAGGGTCATTACTGTTTGAAACATGCTTGTTCTTATGATCTTTTGGTGAAAATTTTCAGGTAAACTAAATGATTCCTGCAGCTTTCCATCAGCCTGTGGTCGCCTTTATTTGGAACTGTGATATATGGCATCAAAGACCAATCTTGCGCTACTTTTGCGCATCATTGTCAATATATTTGCTTGTTTATAACCCAAAAGAACTAACGTTTGTGGTTCTTGATGCCATGGAAAGATTGGCACGGGACCAAATCCAGCATTTTTGGTGGAGTATTCAGAAAGGGAACAATTGTTGGCTGAGAGATCTAACGTTGTCAACAGTGGGGTCTTATTACCCATTTTGTTAATACTCTTTTTCTTAGAGTGACTCCATTTTGTGAATGAAGTGTTAGATTGGTTGATTTATTGTACAAACGCGTTCCATTTTTGTGAGGAAAATGTGTATTATGCTTTCATATTGAGTTTTGAATACAGCACAACAAATGGACGTCTATAATCACTAGACTCATGAACGCGCGAATGCTGCCAAACATTTTGCTTTAAAAAGAAGGAAAATAATCTTTTGACGCGCGTAACAACAATAGCAACAACCACAACTAACAACACTGACACCAACAACCACGGCTTTGGCGTATATGGGAATCAAATCTAGGCGCCCCTACAGGGGAGCAATACGACTTTGTCATGTCATATGACCCATTGGACCGCGCCAAACATTTTGCTTTTATCTTAGTAAAATTTCTAAATGACAAAAACACAAGGTACTGCATAAGCAGTAAGACATGGGAAGAACAACTATTATGCTTTATTATGAAATAAGATATACGAAAGTTTTTATAGTACATTTAAATTTAACTCATACTTCTATGTAAAGATGGAGGCAATATACTAAATTAAATTTAGTGCTATAAGCTCCAATATTCCTCTACGAAGTTGTATCTCTTACATTCATTTAAACCTGGTTTGACTCTATGTTATGATATAAAAGAAATAATTACTTGCTTTAGTAAATTTTAACAAAAAAATTATTGGAAAAGAATGCAATTCAATTTCCTCTATTTCCCACTATTCAATTTTAAAAAATGTCGAAAGGAAAAAAAAATCGAAATGTCAGAAGTGGGATTTGAACCCACGCCCTCTCACGAGGACCAGAACTTGAGTCTGGCGCCTTAGACCACTCGGCCATCCTGACTTTTGCTTTAAGCGGTTAATTTATTTTATATGATCATTCCTTCTGACATCACCGCTTTCAATTTCCCAGAAACAAATTTCTTCCAACTAGCTGTTAAACTAGTCTTTGTAAAGTGATTAACAACATTGTTGACACCTTTCTATAAATTTTTTATATGTAACCAAACAAAAGAAGAAAAAAACTTGCTATTTTTATAAAGCAATAGGCTTATTTTCTTGTTTTGAATCAAACAAACAAAGTACAAGAAAATAGGAAATTTATATTGTTTGATTTCTCAAAACTTCGCCTATATTTTTTTAAGAAATACAAGGAAATCTATATTTTGAGTGTTTTCCTTTTTCTATGGTTTATAGAAATGGAACCAAACGCCCCCTAACCCTAACACAAGTGTTTTAAAATGCTAGTATACTGACCTCACTTTATGGGAAGAGAATTAAGTACTAAACTCCTTTATTACACTCTAGCAAGTACTCAAAAGCCAATACAAACAATAATTCATCGTGATTTGTGAGGGGTTTTCTTGTATTGGTCCCTAAAATCTTGTTGGATTTTTTGGTCAAAACTGCTTTCTATAATAAGTTTTTAAACTATATAGTTACTAACTACTGGTATTTTTTAGAAATCCTTAGTAGCTTAGTGGAGTAAAAGTTTTGGTATTTCAAAAGGTCCTTAGTTCGTTACCGCGAGTCGAGAATTGTTTTGTCTTAAATAAATCAATTAATCCCTCATAAGTACTAGTGAGTCGTGGGTCGTGGGCCGTGGACCGTGGGCCAATGAGCAGGGGATCCGTACTAATCGGGCTGAGGCGCTAAGTGACGCTTTGTAAGGCGCACTTTGCACTTCGCATGGATGCATCGGGGCTACGTGACGCCACGTTGGCTACCACAGTGGTCATGTTCGTAGGTGACCTTCGCGTTCGCGAGAGGGAACGCGACCCTTGCGCTCGCGCCAGGGTGCGACCCTCGCGAGGCGTGACGTGACCCTCGCGTTTGCGCGAGGGTACGAGCCTCGTGTTCGCGAGGCACGATGCGACCCTCGCGTTGCGTAGAAATACGATCTCCGCGTTCAGGCGTTACTGCATGCAACAGTTACAGCAATTAAGTCATTTGCTGTTACAATCATAATTTTCATTATGATTTGTAACAGTCAAATTGACTATGGGTGACCCTTGAGCTGGCCTTAGAGGCTTATAAATATTACCCCTTGAGGCAGCTCTCGAAAGAAGGAAACACAATGAAGTGTTGTACAACTTGAACAGATTGAATTTGTTAAGCTGTTATGTTGTTGCTGCAGAGTTTAAAAGCGTGCAAGTTTTAGTCTGTGCCCGAAGGAACATAGCTCTGAACCATAAGGTTATTACAGATCGAAAGATCTTTGCATGAATCGAAAGGTTATTACAGATAAAAAAATCTTTGTTTGAACCGAAAGGTTTTGAACCGAAAGGTTTTAACAGATCGAGGAGATCGTTGCCTTGACCGAAAGGTCTTATAGATCGAGGAGATTTTGACAGTACTTGGTTGGCGCACACCATTGTACTGTACTGTTATTCCTGAAAACAGTTTGGCCTTGGGATCCTTGCACCGAAGTAGGACAAATGTTGCTTTAAGCATAACGTTTCATAAACGCACAACAACTAACTTGAAAAGGTTTTAAAATATAGCACTTTAGCTTTCTTTCAGTTCTCTCTGATTTATATCTGTTTTATTCCAGATTTAGCCACATGCGCAAACAAATCTAACGTATCAAAATCTTTAATTTCTCTCAAATAAGTCCCTTTTGGTGAGCTCAACCAAACTTAACATAACTCCATTAAGCCTCCGTCTTCTTCATTCCAATCCATGTTTTCACTAGCATGCTACAAACTTCCCTCTCATGTTGAGAAACGTTAACACATTAGGAATTGATCTATCTGCAAACTAATTTAATTAACAAAATTATTTTCCTTCAGATAAGTTTGATGACCATATTGCTAATTTTTCTCTACACCCTTAGGTAGCAAAATGAGAGCATAAGGCAGAGAAACAACTAGCTTTACTTACCTGTGTAAGAACTAGTATCTTATCATGGGAAAATTTGAGTTAGGTTCTTGAAATTGCTAATGCATTATAGCCTTGTATTTGCGTTGGTTTATATTTTTGTCGTGGCTGCAAAAGCGTCGAAGAGTTGGCTACTTATTTTAGTTTCTAATGTGCATGCGCATGAGCGAGAACATGAACACAACATTATGTGTACGTTTGAGCAGTATTTCCAACAAGTTGTTTCTTATTTAACAGTAGATAATAAGTAAACAAGCTTATATTGCATTTTGAAGGATAAAAATTTCATGGGAATACACAAGCAAGCTCTTATAAAGGAACTTTTCATGCAATCAAGTATGATCAATCACTAAATTCAAGCTTCTTCAGCAAGATGTAGAGTCTATAAGAAGAAAATTGTCTCCGGAGAGTGTTAGGAATTTAACGCCTAAACCCCTAATGCAACAGAAACGCAGTATAGAAAAAGTACACCAAGATTTACGAGGTTCGGCAACTGCCTACGTCCTCGGGAGCCACACAGATAATTTCTTATTAATCAAACAAGAAATTACAATTATAAGAGCAGATCAAAAATGAGATCTCTCAATTAAACACTGTAGCTACAGTGTTAATAATTAAAGGGTATGAACCCTTTCAATTCTCACTTGAGAATAAATACCCCACAATTAAAAAACCCTTTTTAATTCCCTCTCTCTCTTTTTAAATCTCCTCTTCTACTGTTGAAGATTGGGAAATGTAAAAATCGCTTCTGCGATTTTAGAGCAGCCGCCGCCGCCAGAGGAAGAAAATCGGAGGAGGGGAGGAGAAGCACAGCAGGCGAAACCCTAGGGATGGGGTTTCCTTTTATAGACGGGGATTTGTAAGGGTTGCGTTCGTCGACTTCGCCTGCGTCATCTCCGCCATTCTCGAGCTCGTCGGAGCTCGTCGGAGGTTTGGTTTCCACCCCCAATTCTAACAATCTCCCACTTGGAGACCAAAACGACGTCAACAGGCTATCCCATCAAGCTCCTCTCCTGTGTGGCTCCGCCCTCATCATCTATGCATGAAGGCCAACTGAAGTTGCGCACAACTCCAGTTTCTGAACAGTCACTGTCTTTGTTAACATGTCTGCTGGATTCTTACTTCCTGGAATCTTTTCCAGTTTCAACACGTCATCTTCCAACAGGGATCTGATGAAGTGGTACCGAAGCGCAATATGCTTCATTCTAGAATGAAATGCTGAATTCTTCGCCAAGTGTATCGCACTCTGGCTATCACTGTGCAAAACATTCTTCTCCTGTTTGAATCCCAGCTCTGTTAACAAACCCTGAAGCCATATCATCTCTTTACTGGCTTCAGTCACTGCAACATACTCAGCTTCTGTAGTGGATAGGGTAACGATCTTCTGTACCTGTGACATCCAACTGACAGCTGTAGTTCCAACGGTGAATACATAGTCGGTGCTTCTTCTTCGGTGATCAACTTCGCCGCCGAAGTCTGCATCTACGTACCCTTGCACTTCTACCTCTCCCTTACCAAAGTGCAAACACTTCTGTGTGGTGCCTCGTAGATATCTCAGAATCCACTTGACCGCTTCCCAATGAGCTTTTCCTGGATTCGACATAAAACGGCTGACCACTCCCACTGCATGGCCAATGTCTGGTCTCGTACAGACCATTGCGTACATCAAACTTCCGATAGCTGAGGCGTAAGGAACCTGAGCCATACTCTCTTTCTCTTCTTCTGACTGAGGAGACTGATCCTTCGATAAACGAAAATGGCTGGCCAAGGGTGTGCTCACAGGCTTGGCGTCGCCCATGTTGAATCTCTGCAAAACACGGTTGATGTACTCCGTCTGAGATAACTGCAAGAGACCTCTCTTCTTATCTCTCGTGATTTGCATTCCAAGGATCTTCTTCGCTGGACCCAAGTCCTTCATGTCAAACTCCTTTGACAGCTGCTGCTTCAAACTCTTGATATCCTCCATATCTGCTCCTGCAACCAACATATCATCAACATACAGCAGTAGGATGATATAGCTGGACTGATATCTTTTGAAGTAGCAACAGTGGTCGGCGTTGCACTTCTGGAAACCTTCCTTGTGCATGAAGCCGTCAAACTTCTTGTACCACTGTCTTGGGGCTTGTTTCAGGCCATACAAGCTCTTCTTGAGTCTGCACACCAGGTTCTTCTTCTTTTCTTCTGAGAAACCTTCTGGCTGGTGCATGTATATCTCCTCTTCTAGATCTCCGTGAAGAAACGCCGTCTTCACGTCTAACTGCTCGAGATGAAGATCTTCAATTGCTACAATACTCATCACGGTCCTGATAGTATTTAGCTTCACCACGGGAGCGAAAATATCGGTGTAGTCAATTCCTTCCTTCTGCTGGAAACCTTTGACAACTAGCCGGGCTTTATATCTTCTGGAACCATCCTGCTCCTCTTTCACCCGGTACACCCATTTGTTGTGGAGTGCCTTCTTACCCGTGGGCAACTCAGCTAGTTCCCACGTCTGGTTTGATATGAGAGACTTCATCTCATCTTTCATTACAATCTCCCACTTGCTCGCATCTCCACACTGACAAGCTTCATCAAAGCTTTCAGGCTCCCCACCATCTGTCAACAACAGATAGTTCATGTATCTCCTGTTGGGTACAGGAGGACGAGAAGATCTTCTTAATATCGGAGCTGGTGCGTCGGGCTCCTGCGCACCATCTTGTCCAACAGGCTCTTCTTGCTGAGGACCCTCTGCATTGGGTTCTTCCGAGAGGTTACTCGGGACATCATCTGCATCTATAAATGTGGACTCGCTCTCTGAGTCGTCAGTCTTGTGCATGTCCTTGTACATCACCTTCTCGTTGAATATCACATCTCTGCTCCGGATCACCTTCTTGTTTTCGTTGTCCCAAATGCGGTAGCCGAACTCATCTTCACCATAGCCGATGAAAGTGCATTTCTTTGACTTGGGATCAAGCTTATTCCTGCCTTGATCACTAATATGCACGTAAGCTACACAACCGAAAACTTTAAGATGTGAGAGTTTTACCTCCTTTCCGCACCATACCTCCTCTGGTATTCTGTGCTCCAATGGAACCGATGGACCTCGGTTGATCAAGTAAGCTGCTGTGTTTACCTCCTTTCCGCACCATACCTCTTCTGGTATTCTGTGCTCCAATGGAACCGATGGACCTCGGTTGATCAAGTAAGCTGCTGTGTTGACCGCTTCTGCCCAGAACTGCTTCGGTAGGCCTGATTGTACTCGAATGCTTCTGGCTCTCTCTGTCAACGTTCGGTTCATCCGCTCAGCTACACCATTTTGCTGAGGCGTGCCGGGCACGGTTCTCTCCATTCTGATCCCGTGCTCATAGCAGAACTTCTTGAATCCGGTGTCTTCATACTCACCGCCATTGTCGGTCCTGAGCTTCTTTATTCTCAGACCGGTCTCATTTTCGACCATAGCTTTCCATCTCCTGAAAGCCTCAAATACTTCTGACTTATGCTTCAGAAAGTAGGCTTTCCATCTTCTGAAAGCCTCAAACACTTCTGACTTATGTTTCAGAAAGTAGACCCATACTTTCCGAGTGTGATCATCGATAAAAGTTACGAAGTAGTGTTTCCCACCAATCGACGCGGTGGTTGTTGGTCCCCACACATCTGAGTGAACGAGCTCTAGCTTCTGCTTCCTGGGGGTTTTGCCACTTGTCTGAAAGCTGACTCTCTTCTGCTTTCCAAGTATACATTCTTCACACATATCCATCTCCACTGACTGTAGTCCTGGAAGTTTTCCCTTTGTGTGCATGATTTTCATCCCCTTTTCACTCATATGACCGAGTCTCTGGTGCCACAGCTTTGAAGTCTCATTGCCTGCTGCAACTGAGATCAAACAACGTGCACCTGCTGTCATATACAGGGTACCAGTCTTCTTGCCTCGGGCAATTGTCATTGCGCCCTTTGAGATCTTCCAATCATCTCCATGGAAGGTCGTGGTATATCCTTCGCCAGCCAACTGGCCTACGGATATTAAGTTCTTTCTCAGGTCGGGAATATGCCTGACATCCTTCAGCTCCCATACAGACCCGTTCAACTTAATTTTTACCACGTCTTTACCCACAATAGCACATGGTTGATCATCACCAAGATATACGTATCCAAGATTTCCGGTGGTATACTTCTCGAAGAATTCTTTCTGAGAGGTAGCATGGAACGACGCTCCTGAATCTAACACCCAAGATTCCTCCTTGCTCTCCAAAGAGCATATCAATGCGTCGTCTCCTCCTGAAGTGGAGGTGACATTCACCTCTGCCTTCGCTTCCTTCTCCTTCTGTGCGCTCTTGCACTGATTCTTGTAATGCCCGGTCTTTCCACAATTCCAACACTCGATAGCCTTCGAGCTGTTGCTTGGATTCCTTGATTTGGACCTCCTGTCCTTTGATCTACCTCTGTAGTTTGATTTTCCTCGTCCGTTTCCTCTGGTTGAATTTCTACCTCTTGACTCTGTATGCAATACTGAAGAGGTTGTAGCTTCACCAGTCTCTCGCCGTCGGATCTCCTCACTGAGAACCAAATCACGAACGTCGCCGAACTTCAACTTTTTCTTTCCCGATGAGCTACTCACAGCTGTGACTATAGCGTTCCAACGCTCTGGTAGGGAATACAAAAGTATCAACGCCCGAACTTCATCATCAAACTCAATCTCAACTGAACTCAATTGGGTTGTAACCGTATTAAGTTCATTGAGGTGTTGTGCTACTGACGCGCCTTCCGCCATTTTCAGATTGAATAACCGCCGCATCAAATGAACTTTGTTCGCGGCTGATGGCTTCTCATACATATTTGAGAGAGCTGCCATAAGACCTGCCGTGGTCTTCTCCTTCGCTATGTTGAACGCAACATTGCGAGTCAACGTCAATCTGATAACTCCGAGGGCTTGTCTATCTAGAAGGTTCCACTCTTCTTCCTTCATAGAATCCGGCTTCTTCCCCGATAGTGGTTGATACAGATTTTTCTGATATAGATAATCCTCTATCTGTATTTTTCAGAATCCGAAATCTGTTCCATCAAACTTCTCAAGTCTTATTTTCCCTTCATCTGCGGCCATGGCTCCCACTTGAATCTGGCTTCCTCTAGATCGTTTCGTGCGCTCTGATACCAGTTGTTAGGAATTTAACGCCTAAACCCCTAATGCAACAGAAACGCAGTATAGAAAAGTACACCAAGATTTACGAGGTTCGGCAACTGCCTACGTCCTCGGGAGCCACACAGATAATTTCTTATTAATCAAACAAGAAATTACAATTATAAGAGCAGATCAAAAATGAGATCTCTCAATTAAACACTGTAGCTACAGTGTTAATAATTAAAGGGTATGAACCCTTTCAATTCTCACTTGAGAATAAATACCCCACAATTAAAACCCCCTTTTTAATTCCCTCTCTCTCTTCTTAAATCTCCTCTTCTACTGTTGAAGATTGGGAAATGTAAAAATCGCTTCTGCGATTTTAGAGCAGCCGCCGCCGCCAGAGGAAGAAAATCGGAGGAGGGGAGGAGAAGCACAGCAGCACCAAAACCCTAGCCGATGGGGGTTTATATAGGCGAGTTGACGAGCTGGCGACAGCCTGTCGCCAGCGACCCGCAGAGCTCGAAGGGGGGTTCGAACGCAGACTTCGAAGGGTGCGTTCGCCGAAGTGTGCGTTCGCAGAAGTGTGCGTTCGCCGAAAGTGTGCGTTCGCCGAAAGGGTTGCGTTTGTCGACTTCGCCTGCGTCATCTCCGCCATTCTCGAGCTCGTCGGAGCTCGTCGGAGGTTTGGTTTCCACCCCCAATTCTAACAGAGAGGAGATAAAATTCCCAGGTATCAAGGAGAAAAAAGGAACTGACAACAATTAATTGTTTGTCCAAACTCTGAGACATAAAATCAAAGTATAAACTTACTTGTCACAGATCATCCTGTCTCATTACCTCTGAAGTAGCCTGCAAATGTCTTCCATTCGAAAATCTTCGAAGTATATTGCAAATGTCTTCTATTCGAAAATAAAGTTGCTCCTGTACCACATTACCTCTGAAGTACCCTGCAAATGTCTTCTACTTGAAAATCTTTTGAGGTATAATGCAAATGTCTTCAAGTAGTATGTAGCAAACTAGCACTACAGGCATTCGGATCATGTAATAGACTAATTACTTCTGAATGTATCACAGTATCAGATGAAGTTCTAGATTATACCAGCTACGCAAACGGATTTCATTATAGGAAATCTCTCTATTTTTCCTTCTTTCATCCATCTGATAAATTACACGAGAACTCTCATGGGATACACAAAATTGCTCTTCCAGCCATCACTTCTTCATTATTCACTATGACTCATGCACTAGAAATCTTCACAAGTCCCATCCAGGGCCTTTCTATATTCTTCATATACTATCTTCATCATAGACCTTTGCATCCTCGAAAACTTGCCAGTCTGACAACTACTAGTAACAGCAACATTTTAGAATTATCCAATCGTGGAATGCACAACTATAAAACATTGCAGCAGAATTTCAGGATGCACACAACTTAAGCAGAATCCTTTTAAGACTGCTAAGCTCATCTCTTCTTAAAAGAAAAAGAATCAATGATTTTTCAACCATGAGAAGTGTAAAAAAAACCTTCTTGGATGATAAGAATTTTAATTTCATTCCACGGATTATCACCAAACTTACAAACACAGATTTAAGAGCAACAACCCTAAATCTAAGACCAACAAACATTAGACTATCACCAACAGTAAAATCTACAAAAGAAAGGGGGAAAAATGGAAGACTTCTTCAACTGTCGTCATCAGCAGCAGACTTTGATGAGCCTCCAGCCTTCTTTGGGAGGAGGAGATTGTGAATGTTGGGCATCACTCCACCATTGGCAATAGTGACAGTGCCCAAGAGTTTCGAGAGCTCCTCGTCATTCCGCACTGCCAATTGAATGTGTCTTGGTACGATTCTGGTCTTTTTGTTGTCTCTTGCTGCGTTTCCAGCAAGCTCCAAAACCTATTAACAGAAAATTTTATTAAGGAGAAAAAAGTCAAGGCAACATCAAAGATTAAATTAATCAATATAAACTCAATAGAACCTGTAATATTAGTTCTGATGAATGCCCATTTTCAAGTCATTATATTTCCTATTTTGGGGGACAGGCTAAAATATAATTATTGGTATGAAGATGATTCAGAAATTTCTCAGCACCAAATCTAAAAGAACCATGAACTGCAAACTATCAACAGCATAACAAATTAACTAATAAGATTAGTACAAATTAATTATTTATCAAAATACATAACTTCCCTGAGAAATACCCGTTTTGAAATTATTATTGGCTGATTTTTGGGAAAAGGGTAGGATAATTTACTGGGAACCAAGAAAAATAACTAATATTTTTATTCCTAAACTAAAATAGAACAAACAATAAATAACCAACAATTAGCAATCAAATTTCTAAGAATTGACAATACGCATATGAAAGTTATTATCAAAAACAAATATGAATGAAACAAACCAAGAGTATTAACACAATTTCAATTTAAACCATACTTAAAAATATAACCAATAATACATTAAACTTTCCAAGTGCAATAGATTTAACCCATTATCACGAATTCCCATGAAATTAACAAGATCCACATAAAACAAGTAAAAGTTCGCCGCAGAAGAGAATTTATGCTAATAACATTCAGACTCAAAATTAAGCAAAAAAAACATCAAATTTCAATACCTCAGCAGCGAGATACTCGAGCACAGCGGCGAGATACACCGGAGCACCGGCGCCAACCCTCTCAGCGTATTTTCCCGCCTTCAAGAACCTAGCGATCCTACCAACGGGGAATTGGAGCCCAGCCTTGCTGCTCCTAGAAGTCGCCTTCTTCGACGCTGCGGATCCAATCGCCTTTCCTCTTCCCGCCATTGAGAATCTCGATCTAGGGTTTGTGAATTTTGCGGTTAGGCTTTTTGAGGACGAAAGAGGGAAGGAGGAAGAGGAGAATTTGAGATTATTTAATGAGTAATTGTTTGCGTTTTATTTATAGGGTTGCGCTTTTGGTTTCGACCAATGGGGAGAGAGTGCTCGGATTGAGAATATGGACCGTTGGATTAGAGATATTTGGACGGCTGGATTTGGGTAGTTAGAAGAGGGAGAGGATTGGGTTTTGGTGGTTATGAGATGGCAAGCTGCCAACTCATATCAATTGGGCAGAAAATGAGAATAAAGAGGGAAATTTTGTCTTTTCACTATAATTAAAGTTACATGTGATACACTTATTTTGTCACACATATAACAGTGTTGTTTTAATTGCAAAAGATCAAACGATTGTGACACTAATAAAAAACATCGCTCAAAATTTATCGCAAAGTCTGCCACGTTGTTTTGTCATTAGATACAAAATAAGGCTAATTGATAGTCTCACAACTATTGTTTTAGAACATATTAACAAGCTTAAATTGTAAGTTTTGGGATATAAATGCAAAAATGCTTCGTAGTGGATTAGTCAAACTCTGAACTAAGCGTGCCTAGACAAGAGTAATCCTAGGATAGGGTGATATCCTAGGAAGTTATAGCATTTTCACCTAGTTGGTCCAAAGGGCCTATATCAACCTAGTGGTGGGGCATCTTTCTGAAGGCTCTCTCCATGCATGTTCTAGCCACACTTTTGATTTGTGTCGCGCCCTATTTTTGTTACATAAAAATATGTTACCGAATGATAAAAAAAATATATTGTAGGTTACAACTTTCATTGTAGTGTTTCCATATTACCATTTTTTTTTAAATAAAAAATGGATTATTTTCGATGTAATGATTACCGCAAAGCTAAAAAAAGGGATGAACAACCACTTTATACCAGTTTTTTCGAATAAATTTTGTAGAGTATATGCATCAATATCTGTATATCACTATTGAAAGAAAGCCCCCTTTTTGTCATGTGAGCTTAAATTTCAGAATTTCAAAAAAAAAAAATGCCTTCACATTTTGAAAAACTATGAAAAACCCTCATACTAAGAAAAAAACTATGAATTTTTTTTATACTTTGAAGAATGAACTAAAATGCTCTCTCTCACTTGGAAAGTGAACTGAAACACACTGTATGTTTTATTGATAAGTTGGGTAAGATGATCTCTCACGATGTTATCACACGCGCGCATCATGTGCCCTGGAACGGTAGTGTAAGAATATAGAAAATATTTCACGAATCTTGATATGCCTCATCACTCGTAATCTTGATTATGCAAACGTCATAAAATAAATTTATGATGATCCTCAATAGAAAAAGGCTCACACGCACTACCACCACTCAAAAGAAATACTCGATCCCCCAAACTTTCAAATACACTCTCCCCCACTCTGATCTAACACTAAAACTTCAAACCCCCAAAGAATCCAAATATTGACCATAAACTGACCTGACCACCAACAGTTCCCCCTTTGACTCGGCCAACCACGATGGATTTTTGATAGACGGGCGAGGTACGTAGTTTACCCGTCAGCCTCACCGCAGGATCGAACTCGTCAACAAACACGCAAGAATGAAGAATGGAAGCTGAGAAGGTAGAGTCGGCCCTCGGAAAATGTGATATATCCCTTGGACTTTAGCGTACGTAGTAGCGATCTCCGTCTGTCGATTATGGCCTGGACTCCAACACAATACGTAGTTTAATTCCCCATTTGTACAGTGTTGACGTTTGTGGCTAAATCTGTAATGATATAAATAAATGAGAAATGAAAGCAATTGTAGTGCTGTATTTTAAATCTTTTTCAAGTTTGTTGCTGTGCATTTGTGAAACGTTGTGCTTAAGGCAATATTTGGCCTACTCCGATGCAAGGATCACATGGCCAAATTGCTTCCAGAAACATCAGTACAGTATAATAGTGTGCACCAACCAAGTACTGTCAAAATCTCCTCGATCTACAAGACCTTTCGGTCAATGCAACGATCTCCTCGATCTGTTAAAACCTTTCGGTTCCAAACCTTTCGGTTCAGGCAAAGATCTATCGATCTGTAAAAGCCTTTCGGTTCAGACAAAGATCTTTCAATCTGTAAAAACATTTCGATTCAGGGCTAAGTTCCTTCGGGCACAAACTAAACTTCACACGCTTTCAAATTCCACAGCAGTAGCACAACAACTCGAACACTTCAGTGTGTTTTTTGTCTGTACCAAGAGATGCCCCAATGGACACTATTTATAGGTCTCTAAGGCCAGCTCAAGGGTCACCCGCAGTCAATTTGACTGTTACAAATCATAATGACAATTATGATTGTAACAGCAAATGACATAATTGTTGTAAATGTTGCATTCAGTAATGCGTGAACGCGAGGGTCGCGTTTCTTGCACCCTCGCGCGAACGCGAGGGTTGCGTTCCCTTTTGCGAACGTGAGGGTCGAACCCTTGCGCGAACGCGAGGATCGTGTTCTCTCTTGCCAACGCGAGGGTCACCAGCGAGGCTCGCCCCACACTACAAACACGAGGCTCTCCCGCATACTGTGAGGCAGCATGAGTGGCGTCAAAGGGCGCCACCTAGCCCCGATGTCTCCGTGTGAAGTGCAAAAAACACCATACAAAGCGCCACTTAGCGCCTCAACCCGATTAGCCCCGATCCCCGACCCATTGGCCTACGGCCCACGACCCACGACCTACTAGTACTTATGAGGGATTAATTTAATTATTTAAATTAAAAATAATTCTTGGCTTGCCTACAACAAGACTCGAACACAGGACTTTTTAAAACACCAAAACTTTTACTTTCCACTACGTTACTAAGGACTTCTAAAAATTACCAGTAGTTAATAAATATAAAGTTTGAAAACTCATTTTTGGAAAGCAGTTTTGACCAAAAAATCTAACAATCCCCCACAAGTTTTTAAACTAGTATCGTGTAACAGTGTCGTTGTTCAATCGTTGTGCATAAGGTAGATGTCGCAAAGACTTGAATTCCCTTTAGACCATCTGAATAAAAGATAGATGCATGGTGTCGCAGAGACTTAAACCAATACATATCTAAAAATCCAGCGATCACACAAGATCAAACTTATTTGTGGTAGTTTTTACTTTGAACCACACATGCATTTGCCTTTGATTTTACCTTGTACATTTATGACCATGTGCACGTCCTGATTTCTGCTAGGGCTCTAGGTATCTTTTCACAAGACATCATAGGAGACAACCAAATCTCCATCTAGGCATAGGTGAGTTCTTTAGGCATGTTTCCTATCAAACATCCCGCATCCGAGATGCTTTGAACTCATTAAGGCTTAAGAGTTATCCTCTCTCATGATAAGACTCTAGGTGAGTCCTTTAGGCGTGCTTCCTGTCTAACACCCCGCATCCGAAAAGCTTTGGACTCATTAAGACTTAACAACCATCCTCTTTATATGATAGGATCATCGGTGAGTCCTTTAGACATATTACCTACCCAACAGCTCGCATCTGAAATGCTTTGAACCCATTAAGGCTTAACAATCATCATCTTTGTCATGATAGGATTTCACTTGTAAATCTTACTTGACTTTTGAACCAATCATCTTATCATTAGTAGCGTAAGCTTTGAACTAATAACTTGATGTAAATAGTAAGTGTTTGTAAGACTCACCAAACTTTAAAAATCTTACTTGAATTTGAACCAATTATCTTATCATTAGTAGCGTAAGTTTTGAACTAATAACTTGATATAAATGATAAGTATTTATAAGATTCACCAAACTTTGAGACCCATTCCAGCAGACGTCCTTTCGACTATGTCCTTTTTTAGACATTTAGTCAATGGATCGGTCATATTTTCTGAAGACCGGACGTTAATCACAGAGATGACTCTTTGGTAAATGAGCTCTCTCTAATAGTCATGCTTCAGACGAATGTCTGCTTTTTTTCATTGAACATCGAGTTCGATGCCACAACACTCGCTGCCTGATTATCACAATAGATAGTAATTACACCTTGCAATTCTGTCAATGGAAGGTCTCGAAGAAAACAACCGAACCAGTCAGTTTCATCTCCTACAACATAGAGTGTGAAGAACTCAGATTTTTATCGATGAGTGTGCAATCATAGTCTGCTTCTTAGACTTTCACGAGATGGCAGCTACACCCATGGTGAAGACAAAACCTCTAGTAGATCTACACCCATCTGGTTCTAAGCACTAGCTCACATCTGAATAGCCTTCGATTATAGCTAGATATCCAGTGTAGAATAAGCTCAGACCTATAGTTCCTTTCAAGTATCTCATCAATCTCTGGACATCATCCCAATGAAGCTTTTTAGGATTACTTGTGAACCTACTAAGCATTCCTACAGCGAATGCTATGTCTGGCCTTATGCAGTTCATCACGTACATAAGACTCCTAATAATCTTTGAGTACCTTAGCTACTCTACTGGTCTTCCAATGTTCGGTCGAAGGTTCTTGTTATAATCATATGGCACTGACATTTCTGGCTCTTAACATAATGAGATTGGGACAATCCAATACCCTCTCCAGAGTATATGATTTTGATTCCAAGAATCACATCTGCAGTTCTAAGATCCTTCATGCTGAACTATGCTGAAAGAAAATTTTTAGTAGATATTACTATCTCCAAATCACTCCTAATGATGAGCATATCATCCACATAGAGGTAGATAACCACCACCTTTCCTTCAGTGATCTTGATGTATAGGCACTTATTAGATTCACAGACTTGATACTCATTATTGCGAACAATCCATTCAAACTTCTCATGCCAGAGTTTCGGTACCTGCTTAAGTCCATATAGAGACTTAACAAGTTTATAAACTTTACCAGCTGAGACATCAAGTCCTTCTGATTTCTTCATGTAGACCTCTTCTGTGAGATCTCCATTGAGAAAGTCAGTCTTCATATCTATCTGATGTATGACAAACTTTTTTATCACCGTCCACGCGATAAGCACTCTGATTATAGTGATCCTACAAACTAGTGCATAGATATCAAAGAAATCTATTCCTTTTCTTTGAGAGAAACCTTTCGCCACCGGTCTTGTTTTGTACGTCTTAACAGTACCATCAGGACGAAGCTTTTTCTTGAAGACCCACTTGCAACTGATAGGCCTTGCACCTTCAGGTACATCCACCAGCTCCCAAGTATGATTTTGGATCAATGAATCTATCTCATCATCTATAGCTTCTTTCCATAGAAAAATATCTGTTGACTGCATTGCTTCTTAGAAAGTCTGTGAATCTCCTTCCGTATTATAGGTGATGAAGTCATCTCTAAAATCTTTCTGACTCCTGACATGCTTGGAAGGTGGTTCGGTAACTTCTTCATCATTGACACTTTTAGTTTCTCACGAAACTGGCTCCTTTGGTGCATCTGATATACCAACATTCTCTGGTATATCTTTGAGTAATAAACCTTTATCCTTGATAAACTTATCCTCAAAGAATTTTGCATCCCCAGCTTCAATGACAGAGTTGGTTCCAAGGTCTAGGAACCTGCAAGCATCGCTATCTTTAGCAAAGCCAAGAAACACACACCTATTTGTCTTTGGTCCGAGCTTAGGCCTTCTGATATCTGGAACTCGAGTAGCTTCTCCACATGAGTGTGAAACTCGACGAACTTACTGTAAGCTTCATCTTTAGATTTCAGCAGGTAGATGTGACGGAAGCGAGAATGGTCATCAATGAAGGTGATGAAGTACTTCATGCCGCCTCGAATGATGAAGCTCTTGAAGTCATAAGTATCTGAATGAATCAGATCCAACAGGCTGGTGCTTATTGTGACACTTGGAAAGGGCTTCCTTGTTAGTTTTGGTTGCGTGCAGACTTCACACTCCTCAAATTTGTTACCCTCATATTTTGGAAGTAATCCTAACTTCTCCATGCTAAACCGTTTTCTATAATTTTTATGTCCCAACCTATTATGCCATAACACAGATGAGTATGCAGAAGAGGATATTTTATTTATAACTGAGTTGGGTATAATAATACTGATCTTATACATGCCATCAGTACGATATGCATTACGAAAATATATTTTCTTAAATGATAACACAACCTTTCTTCCTTGGAAATCTAGCCTCATACCTGCATCACACAACAAACTTTCAGAGACTAAGTTTTTGGCAATTGAGGGAACATGTTTCATATCATTCAATGTGAGAGTCTTTCCTAAAGAGAGAGTCAATACCACAGTCTCAGTTCTAAGAACAAGAATTATAGAATGATCAGTCATTGATACGTTTTCTTTGATAGCAACATAAGAAGAGAACATATATCTATTGGAGCAGACATGTCAGGTAGCACATGTATCTAACCACCAACCAGAGATTTTGTTGGGAGTTATCACCTGAAAAAGTATAGCCACACAATTGTCAATTTGATTGACATTGTGTGTTGTTCCCTTCTTTGGTACTTTGCAGGCCTTGGCAAAATATCCTTGCTTCCCACAGTTAAAATATTTGTCGCTCTTCTTGAACTCTTTCTTCTGAACATTCAGGTTCTTTGAACTTTGGTTATTTTTTTTGTTAAAAGACTTCCTTTTCTTTTTGGCAGAAGAACTACTAGTCTTCTTAAAGTTAGCAGCCACCATGTTAGCAGACGCCTTCTGCTTAGCAAAGAGCTCAGTCTTCGTGCGAGTCCAAATCTCGTCATCCGAATGAACCTCTTCAAATCAGACAGAGTCACTTGTCTTTTTCTTCTCCGAATGTCAGTGGAGAATGATATCCAAGATGGATGAAGCTTGTTGACAATTGTACCATAAATGAATGTTTGACAAAGATTGATTTTTTCATCCTTCAGCTTCATAACAAGCTTTTCAACCTCTTTGACTTGAGACAAAACCTCAGTGTCATCTTCAAACTTGAAGTCTAGAAACTTGTCAATGGGGTGAGATTTGGACAACTTCTCCTCATCCTTGTACTGGTCATCCAGAGTATACAAGATTTCCTTTGAGAGGTCTTGTTTGTGTAAGCATTTGCTAGATGATCGGCCAGACAGTTAAGAAGATAACTCCTGCAGAAGTGATCATCTCTAGCCTAAGAGGCTTCAGACTCAGAATCTTCTTCAGAGTTGGGTTTCTCCTCAGAAACCACATAATAAATTTTCAGGAGTTGCATCCTGAAGATCACTTTCCGACACCATGTGTTAAAGTTGGATTCGTCAAAGTTTTCTAACTTAAGACAGTCCACTCCAAGAGTCCTCCCATGATCCATGGTAGATTAAAAATATTATTTTAAGATTGTTGGCGCTTATGGCTAAATCTGGAATAAAACAGATATATATCAGTGAGAAGTAAAACAAATTATAGTGCTGTATTTTAAAACCTTTTCAAGTTAGTTGTTGTGCGTTTGTGAAACGTTGTACTTAAAATAATATTTGGCTTACTCCGGTGCAATGATCCCAATGCCAAATTGCTTCCATGAACAATAATACAATACAATGGTGTTGCACCAACCAAGTACTGTCAAGATCCCCTCAATCTATAAGACCTTTCGGTCAAGGCAACGGTCTCCTCGATCTGTTAAAACCTTTCGGTTCAAAACCTTTCGGTTTAGGCAAAAATCTATCGATCTGTAAAAAACCTTTTGGTTCAGGCAAAGATCTTTCAAACTATAAAAACCTTTTGGTTCGGGGCTAATTTCCTTCGGGCACAGACCAAAGCTCGCACGCTTTCAAACTCTGCAACAGCAACACAATAGCTCGAACACTTCAGTGTGTTTTTCGTATGTACCAAGAGCTACCCCAATGGGTATTATTTATAGGCCTCTAAGGCCAGCAAGGGTCACCCGTAGTCAATTTGACTGTTACAAATCATAATGACAATTATGGCAATTATGTTACAAATTGTCATTATGATTTTAACAACAAATGACTTAATTGGTGTAACTGCTGAATGCAGTAACGCTGAACGCGAGGGTCGCGTTTCTCGCACCCTCGCGCGAACGCTAGGGTCGCACCTTGCGAACACGAGGGTCGCGTTCCTTCTTGCGAACGCGAGGGTCGCGTTCCCTCTTGCGAACACGAGGGTCGCACCCTTGCACGAACACGAGGGTCGCGTTCCCTCTTGCGAACGCGAGGGTCACCCGCGAGGCTCGCCCCATGCGCGAGGCGACCATAGTGGCAGCTAACGTGGCGCCACCTAGCCCCGATGCCTCCGTGCAAAGTATAAAGTGCGCTTTACGAAGCGCCACTTAGCATCTCAGTACGATTAGCCCCAATCCCCGGTCCATTGGCCCACGGCCCATGAGCCCACGGCCCACTAGTAGTTATGAGAGATTAATTTAATTATTTAAATCAAAAACAATTCTTGGCTTGTCTACGGCAAGCCTCGAACACATGACCTTTTGAAACACAAAAACTTTTACTTTCCACTACGCTACTAAGAATTTTTGAAAATTATCAGTAGTTAATAAATATATAGTTTGAAAATATCTCTAACACAACCCTTAAGATAATTAGAATCGTGTAATTAGACTGAACACAGGCAATTTGAGATATACCCACATGCTACATTTTCAAGAATACTGAAATGATCATTCAAGAAATATATATGTTTGTTTAGAGTCGAACCTTCGGATGCAAGGTACTCAAGAACAGCGAGATAGACTAGAGCTCCAGCGCACCAATGCGATCAGCGTACTTTCCGACCTTGAGAGAGCGTTCGATTCTTCTGACTGGAAACTTGAGGCCAGCTCTTTTGCTTCTTGAGTCTTCCCCTTTCCTGCGATTAGTGAATATTGAAAGAGAGATGTCGCAAGAAATCTCGAATGATAGACAGAGGAGAGCATGATGATAGTGCTTCTGGAGCTTTGAGGGGTTTATGTAAGGGCTTTGGATTTTTTGGGCTGAGTAAACTAGTTCCCAACAGGTCTTAACGGTTTTAATTAACTGTGTTCTGTACTCTGTTGACAATTTTTAACTGCAATGCATCTTATTTACGATTTTTAATCTCAAGCTTAGTGTTTGAGAGGATAACTAATTAACCATGTAATATATTATATTTACACAGTACATGTTAAATATGATCAAAGGTAGTTGAGAAAATCACGATTGATCTAAAAGATGATTAACCTTGTTTCAGTAATTAATGAAGGAACTGAACAGGGTAAGGAAATGATTGATATCATAATTTTCTTCTTTGACCTTGGACTAATCAATAAATTAGCCCATTAGTTTGCTTAATGGCTACTCACATTCTATCTGTTTGGTTTTGCAACAAGGAATCTTCTATTTCCCACAATGCCAACTTCCAACACGTTCACTATGTTCAGAACACAAAATGTATTACACGGAACATTTTCTGGTGCTGGAAAATACACTGAATAGATTCATGAATGGGGGCAGAAAGAGAGAATAAATAGCTACACCTGGGACAATAGGAAATGCTTCTAACTGAAAGAGTACTATAAAAAGTAATTTATTAGATGATCTCTAATCAAGAAGTGAAACAAGGCAGTTAAAATTCATCAACCCCGTACTACCTGAATAATAATCAATACAAGGTTATAAATTTATCAACTGACATAATTTCTCCTGCAAAATAGGTTACAGAGAAGAGGGTGTAACGGAAATTTATACGCGGACTCCTAGGCTTTCATCTCTTCTATGATTCTGTTCCTCTTCCAATGATGCGGCTGCAGCAGAAACATAATACGCCATGCCAAAAAGCCCATGGACGAAGCACACGCTACCCCCAGTTGCGAGAAAATGTGGGTGTGGTAATATGCATGATGCCCTTGACTGAGAATTTGACACTGCTCCAATCATCAGCAATGTGAACCCAGCAGCCAAGACGAGCCTATTCATGTGAAACTGAAAAGATTAACCAAATGTACTTAAAAAATATTTAAAATGCTTGCAAATATTAAGAAGTAATTTAAGTCTCATCACATATTTCCCTCAGAGAAAAGGTCTCATTACACGTGTTGAGTCTTCTCTTCAAAAGTGAATGAATAAGAGCAACTCTAATGGGGAGGCTGCAAAATGCAGCCTCCCCAAAGTATATTCTTGGGCATATGCTTTTTTAGAGGGGGAGCACTCCAACCACCCCTCTATATGAAACTCTATTTGCATTTTTAATTGATTTATTTTATAATACTTTAAATAGATTTGAAAATATAAAAAATATAAAATGTTAAAAAAGTATATGAATTAATTTAAAATATAAAATATATTATAAATTATGTGGGGAGTCTCCAACACGAAAGGACCCCCAATGGGGGGGGTGAGAAGCCAATACCGAAAAGAATCCAATGTGGGGAGTCTCCAACACGAAAGGAATCCAATGTAGGGGGTGAGAAGCCAATGCTGAAAAGAATCCAATGCGGGGAGTCATATTATATAATGACATTACATCCATCTCTAAATAACTCACAACTTATATGATTATTTCTATAAATAACTTCTTCATCAATGAACTATGGAGCCGGACCGTCACATCTACCTTCTTCTTCTTCTTCTTCTTCTTCTGACGACGAAATATGGTCTCAGTACATTAAAGATTAGGAGGAAGATATGACACAATGGGAGAAGGAAGATGAACTCTTAGCTCGCGTACATGCCTCTAATAGTAAAATAATGACTTATCTCTCTCAAGAGGCAGAGCGGTCAAAGTGTATTGGCTCAGTTCCTGGTCATTTGGTGATTAATCGCGGGAGGGAAGAAGGTAATTCTCGACTTTACCATGACTATTTTTCTGATAACCCTACATATGGTGCAAACCTATTCCGTAGAAGGTTCCGGATGCACAGGAGTTTATTCCTTCGTATAGTCGAGGCGGTACGTGAGCATGACAACTTCTTCGTACAGAAGATGGATGGTGTCGGCAAACTTGGGCTATCAACTTTACAAAAAGTTACATCGGCATTTCGCATGTTGGCGTATGGAACATCAGCAGATAGTACTGACGAATATGTTAGGATCGGTGAGTTAACTGCAATTGTATGTTTAAAGAGATTTTGCAGAGCAATTGTAGAAGTATATGGAGATGAATATCTGAGGACCTCCAATGTCGACGATGTTGCAAGGTTATTGCAAAAGGGCGAAGAAAGAGGTTTTCCAGGAATGTTAGGAAGTCTAGACTGTATGCATTGACAATGGAAAAATTGTCCAACAGCATGGGCAAGACAATACTCAGGTCGCCATGGAGGTCCAACCATTATTCTTGAGGCAGTATCATCATATGATCTATGGATATGACATGCATACTTTGGCTTACCAGGATCCAATAACGATATTAATGTATTGCAGTCGTCTAATTTGTTCGACAATCTATCACAAGGTATTGCTCATCCTGCTCATTACACAATTCAAGGAAAAAATTATGATGTCGGTTATTATTTGGCCGATGGCATATATCTAAAATGGCCAACACTTGTTCAAACCATTTCTAATTCCGATGATAAAAAGAAACAATATTTTGCAATGATGCAAGAAGCATGTCGAAAAGATGTTGAGCGGGCATTCGGTGTTCTCCAATCACGATTTGCTATCATCAAGGGGCCAGCCCGTTTTTGGGATAAACGAACTTTGCATGATATCATGACTGCTTGTATTATAATACACAATATGATTGTCGAAGATGAACGCGACGAGCAAGAAGATGTTGTCATTTCAACTCCACAATCAATTCCGAATGCTGAAAATATGGAGATAACGGAAACTGAACGATTCCAATGGTTTCTTGCTCGACATAAGAGGTTGAAAAACAAAGAAGCTCATTTTGCACTTCGAAATGCATTGATTGAACATTTGTGGGAAAGACATGGAAATGAAGCGATGTAACTTTTTTTACTAATGAAATAATGACTTTTTTATTTTTAATTACTTGGTTCTTGAAATTTTATATTTCAATTAATATTATTCAATATTAGTCTCATTTTGAAGGTATCGACAAAACATTTCCAACTGTAAAACTTTTATTTAAAAATAATTAGTAGAAATAAACTTATATTGATTTTAAGTTGAATATCTAAAAATAATTAGTTAGTTAGAAGGGTATTATTGTTATTTTTTAGGGGGAATAGTGAAATGGAGGGGGGCTGCATATTTGGAGCAAAAACTCCAAATATGCAGCCGGGTGAGAGTTTTTGCAGCCGGACTCCAAAAATTAGAGTCCGGTTGGAGCTCAATCGGGCTGCATTTTGGAGAAATACAACCCGATTGGAGCTGCTCTAAAAGAGATAACCAAAGATTCAAAGTGAAATACCTTCAATCAGAAAACTTAACCTTTTGTTTTCGAGACATCAAGCTAGTGGAAATAAGTTAAAAATTATCTAATAAATACCAAAACCTGAATTTTGTAAACTATGACACTAGAAGTTTATTACTTTTTAGTTCAGATGTAGACATTAATCATAATATTTGTTATCTTATGTTTATGTCAGAAAGTTAATTTGTGGATAAAGTAGTATTATGAGAAGATTAGGGGTTTTTGATCGCCTATGGAGACTGATAAATTAGTAGAAATGTATCCCTGCATAAGTAACAAATGTTAGAGGCCCCGAGGGAGATTTCCCCCGACATGCCCTCCGACGCTCAAGTCAGTTACCGACAAAGCAGTTTCCAGAGAAATACAATATTCAATTTAGGGTTTAGATAGTCCATATCTCAAAATAGTGGGGGTAGCGTCTTATTTATAGGAGAAGGAG